CTGGTGGGCAGTCAGGGCTAGCAAAGGCAGTGGAGTTCAGAGAACCCACCATGATGCCATCTGTTGTCCAGATGAGCTGGACACTGGTATATGAACGATGGAAGGGGGGTATGGGTATATCAGATTAGGGATCCAAGGGGCAAATCACGTTTGTGATAGCTGATAACTGGGGAAGGGATTGCAGTAATGAAAGGGAGGAAATACAGTGGATCAAGGAGGAAGAAACATCTTGAAATATAGAGGAGATGGATGCAAGGGAGCAACTCAGTGTGGACGGGAGTTTGGTCAGTGCTTGTCTGCACAGACACTATGGCTGATCATTGTGCCTCCTTATTTGGCCCTACTCCTGGATATTTGCTGTGTGAGTGTGCTCGCTCTTGTGTGTGTTTAGGAGTGATTGTACATGCATGCTTTGCTGTCCAAGAGCAAATGAGGCTGGCAGGTGGAGGAGGAGGATAATCAGATCTGGAGAGATCCTGGGTTGAAGCTCCCAGGTGGATAACAGCCCAGAGCCTGGGCAGGGCATCAGGGAGGCATCTGAACATTGTCATGGATTAGATGGACACCTGTATTTGAGACAAACTCTGGAAGAAAAGGATCGCAAACGTCATTGCTGGAAAGAAATGTCTATCAGGCTTTAGTAATATGATGAGATCCAGAAAAGTTATCCCAAGCTGTGCTGTATGTGATGCTGCAAGCTATATGTTCCTATAAGGCCATGCCACATATAGTTGCAAGAAATGAGAAGACCAGTTACTTTTTAATTAAAAACAGCAATAGCAATACTCTCACAGGAGATAAGATTAGGAGCACTGTTTGTTTCTCATTAGTCTCATACTTACAAATTCTACAGTGTTTGTAACATGTCCTTAACTGCGGTGTGAAACATGATTGTGAAACATGATTTGGATTTGCACTGTTTTCACAGGAAATGTCATTTGGTGGCACACTGATGCTCAGCTGCTTTCTTTAGATATTGCAAGAATGCTTTTTGTCCAATGATGAAGACATCATTTTTATCAGATGCCTGTGAGAGAAGAGCCGAGCTTAATGCATAGCAATAAAAAGAGGAATATGAGAATTTCTGCTCTTTTTGGCATCAGCTTTGGTTAAGATGTATGAATATACATGAATGGTCCCATCAGGATCTCTGGGGGTACTGACATACAGGATCTAACATGTTATTGCTTCTGACCACAACAATAGCCGCTGTTCAGGAAGAAGAAAAAAGATACAACCATCCCACAAAGAGAAATCTTTCTAAATTTCATGGCCTGGATGTCTGAAATGAATTCTGCTGTGAAAATATTGCGCTTATCGTCTCCAGTCAGGGATGAATGACTGCACAGTCCTTAAATCTGCAGTTGGAAAACCAAAACAAATCTTTGCTGCATATCTGATCTTGTACCTTTTACTCATGGAAAGGATTCTGCTTAACTCATACAAATAAAGATGGCATGACCAAGAGAGACATCCTTTATGGGATGTACGCTTATCAGAAAAAATACTCTGGCATTTCCATCCTCTGAATCAATTATTTACCAAAAGACACTGGAAGTTTCTTTGAATTACTCTAAAAAATAAGCTAACTGGAGAATTTAGTTAAATCATCTTCATTCAGATGTTAGTCTATACCAGATCTGGATGCTACTACAGTGGACAGGTTCATTTGGCAGAAGCAAAAATCTTAGAACATGCTTATGGCATAGATCTCAGATTTTTCCTATTATTGACATTTCCTGACAAGTAAGTGGAAATTATTCAAAAGCACCGGAATGAGTTTAATCATTGTATGTTTGTCATCTGAAATTGGGGACAAATGATGACCGTTTGTAGTGCACCAAAAGGGAATATCCCACACTTTGCAATGGAACTCCCTGTGGTCCCCATTCATGAGTTACAGCATATCAGAACAAGATAGTGGTCTGTTTGATCCAGTGAATGTTAGCAAGAAATTTATGTGTCTGAAGTGCAACAGACAATCCTCCAAGGGGAGCATGCTGAGTGGCAGTAGTTCATTAGAGCGGCTTGGACACTCATCAGCAATTACACAGAGTGTTTTGCAGGAACCTCTCTCATCCCCATATTCTTCTCACATAAATAGCAGTGATTTCCCTGTTCAGATGCTAAAAAATGTATCATTCACAGCCACAGGAGCTGGGCAAAGGACTGAGAAAGGAAACACCTTTGGCCTTCCCAGTGCTGTGCAAAATGAGACAAACAAAATGGTGTCACTTAAGAAAAAGGATAGAAGAGTAATTAGCACTAAGAAGAAACAAGCTAGGGCACGTAACTGTAAAACTGCTCATCCGCAGCCAAGTGTTCCACGGAAATATAGCTTATGAAAACGAAGAAGAGTTAAAAGTGTCCTTCAGACTTGTAGAGCTGGGATGCAGATATGCAGAATCTCCAGGAAAAACAACAAAAGACATAATTACTGAATGATAACCTTCTTCCTTTGGGAAATGGAGCCACTACACTGACTTTGAAGAGCCAACATGAAATGTTGCAGCTCTGCAGTGCGGAGTAAGGTGAGATTTGGGGGCTGTGATAGTGTGTTTCCATTCCTATAGACAACCTACTCTATAAGCCAGCAACTGAGTACATAGCAATACGGTTAGAGTTACAACAAACAAAAAGAGAAACAAAATGTTGATCATTTAGCTTCCTTCTCTCCCCTCTACTTCTAGAATTTGTCTTTTCTGTTACAAAATCTTCTCCACTCAGAGTAAAATTGGATGTGGTGGCATAAATATAACCGAAGTGTGTCCTTCAACACTGTAATTTAAATGTTGATGGACTCATAACTGCATCGCTATCTCTCCAATGAGTAGCAATTTCTTTATGTTTGCTTACAGGGACCACCTTTCTGCATCCATAGTCAAAAGAACTGTGAGATGCCAGAAGTAATGGAACCAGCAGGTTCTGATAAACCAGTAATACATTACAAGCAGTTAAAAACAAGTCTGTTTGAGCAATATCTCATAAACGTGGTGATTCTTTGCAGGTGTTTGCTGTTTGAGACAATGGAAAGAATGTTCTGTTCTCTCTGGCCAAGTGGTATTGGGCACCAATTTTACTAAAGACAATGACTAATCATTCTCAAAAGGTAAATCCCTAGACATTGGGCTGACAGCGTCATTTGAGATTTTGTAATACATTCCATACAATAATTGTATTTTATTTTGTAGATTACACATACACATTCACAAAAACGTGGAAGATAGCTGTACATTCTTGTTTACCAGTTAACGCTCATGCACATGAACAGTCCAATGTAAATCACCAGGACTGCTTGCATTTGAGAATTGCTGAACTTTGAGTCACTCCTGTCAGATGTCCAACACCAACCAGATCTGCAAATGTCATCTGTGGCCGTGGGTTGGACGTGGGGGTATGAGAGGCCTTTTCCAACCATAGTGATGCTGTGATTCTATTATCCTCTGCCCTGCATCCCTCACCCCACTCTGCTGCTCAATCCTGTACATGGCCATTTGTTCTTGCAGTAGGACATCCCAAGGCCCCAAAGCCTCTGAAACCCCGCTAGGGAATGCTGGGAATCACTGGAGGGTGCTGGGAGCTGCTGGGGTTTGTTGCCTGCAGGAGCAGGAGGCTGCTGGGGGCTCTCACTCTATTTTTTGGACTCTGCCTGCTATCTGTGCTCCTTTAGCCTGACTTTTTGGGGCTGGTGTGGGACTAGGACTGCTGCCTTTCTTTTCTGGGGTCAGGTCAGCTCCCCAACCCCAGGCAGTTCCCTGAGGTGTCTTTAGCCTCTGGTGGGGGGAGCAGGGGTGCCACAGCCCCAATGCTTGGGGTGACAGGGTGAGGCTGTGCCTCCCCAGCCCAGTGTTGGTGGGGGTGAGGAGCAGGGCAAAGGGGTGCTGCAACAAAAGCAATGCCTCTGGCTTGCTTTGAAGCTTGTTTTGTGTCATTTTCTCTTTCTTACTTGTACCTGTTGCAGGTTGAGCAAGGGCTGCAGCCAGGATCAACCCAACATGGGAGTAGTTCTGACAGTGAGGAGATCATGGGGATGGTGAGTGCTGGGCGTGAGGTCCCCCTACTATGCGGGCCTGCCTGTCCCCTTATAGCTTGGTGTAAGGGCTCCCAACCCGGCATCCCTCTGCAGCTGGCTCACAGAATTCTTCTTACTGCAGGTCTGGGGCTTCACTGAGGACTGGAGCACAGCAAAGCTGTTCCTGGCTCTGCAGTGAGGTGAGCCCTGTCCTTGCATCTCCAGCCTCTGTATTTAGCCCTTTGGATGGGGTTTGTGGCTGAGGCTGGGTGCTAGATAGAGGACAAAAACATTCCCACATCCCTCCTCCTGTTTGCAGGGTGATGGGGTGCCCAGTTCCCCCCTGGCATTGGGCCCCCACTTTGCAGCTTTGTTCTCATCTTCCAGCAACTGAAGACACATGCCTACTGCTCTCCAGAAGGATGGAGTGGCTGCAATGGGAACAAAGAAGTACAGGGAGCAGGGGTGCTGGGGTGCCAGCAGCACTTCCTTCCTAACAGGAGTTGGGGTCCTGGTGCTGCTTCCTGCTGTGAGGCACCTCCCTGCTCCTGCGGGGGTAGGGAGTGCCTGGGGACATGGCATCTTGGGAACATGGCATCCTGGGGGCAGGTGCATCTTGCCTGCCCTCCTCCACTGGCAGTGAAGGTGCAGTGATGCAGCTCTGTTCTGCTGGAGGCTGTGAGCAAGAAATGGCAGAAGTTGCCCAACAGTGTGAAGTTCTCTGTTCTGGAGAGTGTGGTGTCGGTGCTCCCCAGCAGGTGGTGGAATCCCCCAGTGCTCCAGTGTCAGTTCTCTGTTCCCCTGGGCGCCACTTAGCACTTGAGTCCCTGTTTGTCCACCAGCTCTTGGCTGAAGCCAAGGCTTCCCATGGTGGTGCTCCGTGGCTGGGGGCTGCCCTTTGGTAGTGCATGCATTCTCCCACAAGTGGGGTGCAACCCCCAGCGCCCTCCAGCCTGCTTTCCAGGGTACAAAGAGGAGTAGTACTTCTCTGGAGAGCAGAACTTTTTATTTTCCAGGTGTTCCTGCAGATATGGCAGCAGTTTTGTGCTCGGTTTGTCTTCTTACACATCTTCTTACAGAAGAAGCCATTGGGAGAATGATGGCAATGGTAGACATTACTGTACATCTTCCTGATGAGGAAAAAAGAAAGGAGGTGGGGAGTGCAGTGCCCTCTGGCTGAGGAGGGGACCCTGTGTGTGGGGGTGGGATGGGGCTTAGCTCTCGAGTTTTCGAGGGATCCCCTTGCATTGGGGTGGAACTGGGGTGCCCTTCAGGTGGGGTGGGGACCCTGTGCATGGGGGTGAAATGGGATTTAGCCCTCAAGTTTTCAAGGATCCCCTTGCACTGGGGTGGAACTGGGGTGCCCTCCAGGTGAGGTGGGGACCCTGTGTGTAGGTAAGAGCCCCTGGTGAACGGGTCTCTCCCCTGAGTGTGTGTCTGTGGGTACCTGGTGCTAATTGCTTTTTCGGTTCCGCTGTCTCCTCTGTATCTGATGTGGCCTTGCTGTTCCTTAGGGTCTTTCTCTGCTCACATCTTCATGCCCATCTGCTGGCTGATGGCAATATGCAGCTGTCCTCGTCTGAGCTTCTGGCTGGCCTTGCACTTTGTCTCCACAATCTTTTGTTTTGCAAGTTCTCTCAGTTCTATTTTCTTATACCTAGGTAAAAAGAAGTATAACCATAAGTTATTTTCTAGCAATTTCTGTCTTCTGTGGTTCTGCATCTTTCTTTCAGCCCATCCCCTCCCATGTTTATTTTCTTTCAGCTTACAGTTACTACAGTTACTGACAAAATTATGATTTTACCACACTGACTTTATTTTTGCCATGGATGATAAGGGGAGTGCACTGCATGTAAATGAAAACATTAATTAACCTGGAGGCATGCAGTTCTACAGCTTTGGAATGAGAAACTGTTTATGCAGCATGTGGGAAATCTGCAGTCTGGAATTTCTGAATGCTAACGCTGCAGCTCTGCTCAGTGTGTCAGCCTCTGTCTGCATGCAGTCTGGATTGAAGGAAATATACTCCCGCTGCAGGATTAGAGGCTGAAAATTGGGAAACTTCATTATGGTCAATAAAATCTTCCTTGAAGAAAAGAAGTTCTAACCCCGCTGTTCCACTTATTGGTTAACCTGCCTATAGCTGTTTTCTCCAACTTGCTTTCCCATCCTAAGGAGGAAGGGTGCCTCAATCTCTTGAATTACTTCTTTCTAGGAGAGAAGAAAAGATAAAGCAGGAGCTTATTTCCTTAAAGTAGGAGAACCTACAGACATCGCTGTCTATCTCCTCTCAGCCAAATCCCCACATTCATTGGTAACATCAGAGCACAGCAAGCTCTATGTTTGCAGAAGCATCAAATATTCCTATTGCTCTGTAGTGGTGCAGTAAAGAGGGCCTCGGCCCTACAGCCTGATGGCAATAACTTGGCAAAGAAGGAGCTTCTCACAGGACTGCTCACTTGCATACACTGACATTACATACCATACATATCTATAGAATGAAGTCCTAAAGTGTGCAACAGAAGTTGAGTGCTGAAAGCATGGGAGAGTTCCTGCAGAAACTGCTGCTGACGCTCCTGAAAAAGCCTTCCTTCCATACTGCTAGGAGTAGAGAATGTTGCATCTTGGCACCAACCTAAAAGCCAGCATTAACTCTGTGAAGAGAGAATGGGCTTCACTGACCAGTGTGGCACACGCTGACTGAATGGCAGTTAACATTTATGTGCTGGCATCACACACAGCATTCTTTGTACGTCGCGGGCAGCAACACCAGAATATGATTTCTGCCATCATTGGCTCACTTATATTCGGTTATGTGCAGCATCTTACAGCGGGCAATCTCAGTAACTCAAAGGAAAGAGAGCTTTCCATGAAAACGAGTGGTGTCACAGCTCATGAAGAGGAACATGGGACGGAGATTAAGCATCCTCGAGCCGCACCCCTGTACCGCTTCCTCTATGGATTAACCACGACGGGAAAAGCAGGCGGGCACCTACGAAAGCTGCCGATCGCGTTAATTAGGGAGGTGCTGCCGGCGCTCGGGAGGACGGCAGAGCCCGAGGCTGCCGGCTCGAAGCGCTTCATGCCCGCCCGCCCCGTTTCCCCACCTGGCAGCGCGGCGTCGGGTCGGCTCTGGGTGCGATCTCCGGCCCTTCCGGCAGGCGGCGCCGCGGGAAGAGGCGGCCGGCGGTCCGCATTACGGGCGGACGGGACGCGAGGCGCTCAGCGGCGTCACGGCAAGAAAGCCGGTAGCCACGGCACGCGTTCTAACGGGCTGCGTACCTCCCAGCGAGCCGCGAATCGGAGATCGCCGGCAAGCCGCCCGCAGGAGCGGGCGCTATCGAGTTAGCGTCGCTTTTCCCAGTTCGGGAGGGAGCTCCTTCGCTCTGAAGCCGCTTTGCGCTTTAACGCGCTTTGCGACGAGGACAGTGGGACGTGCGGAGGACGCTCGCGCGTTCACCCGTCTCCAGGGCGCGCGCAGAGCCGTGCGTTGCCGCCACGCGCACAGCCCCGTCCCAACCGCGACAACGGCTTCCTCCGCTCCGACCGGCGGCTCCTCCTCTGCCTGCCCCCCACTCGCGCTTTTCCGGCCATTCAGAGGGCCGTGACAAAGTTCCACCGGTGGCCACAGCTGCTGTGCCTCAGCGAATGTGAGAGCTTGCCCTGTGAGGACGGGCAAAGCCGGCACGCCGGCTTTCGGAATGCAGAGAGCCAGGGTCTGTGAGAGGAGCCTTTGCTGTGCTTCGTGCAGGCAGTCCCTCGGCGCAGTGTTTCTGAGGGCTTTTTAACCTCTTGGATTAGCTGTGCTTCAGCTGGGACTTTTTGTTTCCCGGTCCAGCAGACAAAGCACTATGAATCCGCTCCAGGAAAAGATCCCACCGTGCAACCCAGCTGCAGTCATCCCACCATCTCTACTCTTCTGTCTTATCTACATATCTATAACTTGTATTTGTTCATCTACAGTTGTTATCGCTTCTGCTCTTTTCTCCTCTGTTCTTCCTTCTCCTGTTCTTCCCCCTTCTGTTCTCATCTCTCATCTTCTGCTCTTCCCTCTTGCCTATTCTCCCCTGCTATCTTCTACTCCCCCCTGCCCCTTCACTATACTCTTACTTACATCCTCTCTCCCGTTCTGCCTTCTTTGTCCTCACCTCTCATTCATTGCTCTTCTTTTCTTCCATCTTACAACTTCTCAACTTCGGTTTGGGCCGCCAGTGGTTTGTCTGCAGCCCGGAGCAGGGACAGCACATGGCAGGAAGGGGACTGGATGGGGCCAAACGGGGAGGAGTGGATAGGGCCGGGTAGTGAACGGGACAGAGACTGAAAAGAGGCGGGACTGGGGACAGAGACACTGCTGGAACTCCTGAAAGTCGGTGGTGAGGATGAAGGGGTGCCTGCTGTATTTCCTGGATCACAGGAAGCAGAAGGTCGTAAGGATTTTGCTCTTCTATTTTTTCTCCAAATAGCCTATTCATTGATATGAGTATTGACTTTAGTTAATTAATGCTCTGATTGGATAATGGCAGTTCCATTTTACAGATAACATGTATTTTTGCTTGCAACACCCATTTGTACACTGATTGAGCTAGTAAAGCCTTTTTTAAATAGAATGCTTTAACCAAACCTATACAAACTTTCTTGTTTCATTGCAAGCTGTCCCTCTGCATTTGCACTTAGCAGTAAATCCTATCAAATGAATTAAATTTGGACACAGAATGTGGGAATTTGCAGAGAGAAAAATGAACTTTGTCATCATAGGGAGAGAGTTCAAGATAATGAACCCACCCTCCTGCTGCAGAAAAATCATGAAAAGCACAGTCATGTTTAGATGTCATTGCATGATGGAATCATTTAGGTTGAAAAAACCTCTAAGATCACCAAGTCCAACCCCAACCCATCCCCACCATGCCCACTAATCTTGTTCCTCAGTGCCACACCTCCATGATCCTTGTAAAGCTCCAGCTTGTCAACTTGCTCTCTGTGAATGTGGGGCACGAACAGCTGTGCTGCACTCTGTGTGTATGTTGCCTATGGATCTGGAGGTGGGGAAGCTGCCCCAGTGACTGCAGAAGGAACTTCAGCTGTGCTGTGCTGGGTACAAGTCAGCCTCATAGTCTTGGTCTGTCTGACTTGACTGGTGGGAGCATAAATCATTGTGGTTTGTATGTCAAGCCCTTACTCTGGACAATGTGCTATCACTGGAACAATACCTATGAAGGAATGACCTGTCCATAGTGTGCATCTCATCAGCACTGCCTGATACCTTATATTGAGCAGCCTTGTTCTGGAGTCACATGCCAGATCATGCCAGCACTGCCTGGTGGGACTGCTGGGTAACACTGTGGTTAGAAACTGGTTCTGGTGCCTTTGTGTGATGCAAAATTCCCTGCTAACCTCTGAAATATTATTTTCTCTTTAGTCCTGCACTTCTGCTTCCTAAGCTGAGCATTCTTATGACAACAGAACATGGTTCTTGTTTGTTTTTTGCAGGTGTTTTTAACTGTTGGTGAATAATGCTCTGACAGCATCACAGACTGCCTGCTTGACCCTGCAGTGCAGCAGAAACGCAGCACAGCACTTTTACTTTGGTTCCAATGAATTTCCAACACACCAGAAGAGAGCATGGGGCTGGCAGGTAGTGCAAGTAGAGTGTGGGGAGTTGTATGCTGGCTTTATGCCATTCTACGACAAATAGCACAGAGAGGGTCACTGTGGGACTGAGTGGGACTGCTCACCCATGCAGGCTGATACAAAGAGTGTAAGAAAAGAAAATGGAAATGAGTGCCCTTTGGCTGCAGGCAGTAGAGGGCTCCAGGCCCTGTGGGACTCCGGATGGCTCCTGGCCTTTACCTTTCCTGCCCTCTGTGCCAGGACAGGATTGCACGGTCCCTTTGGAGCTGGGCTCTGTGGGATGGGGCAGCTGGGACCACCTGCCACCTCCCTCTGCTGCCATGGTGGGAGCTGCAGCACCCCATTGTGTCACCGGGTTGCCCCCAGAATGGGGGTCTGAGGAGAGGGTTGAAATGCAGCTGGGTGTGGGGAAAGTCAGCTTCTGAGGGGAGCTGCCAGGGGGTTCTGTCTGCAGACTGAAGCAGGTATAGAACAGGGACAGAGACAGCACCAGGACAGAGGCACAGGGCTGGGACAGGCAGGGACAGGGGCAGGATAGGGAAAAGTGTAGGTGTAGGGGTGGGGACAGGACAGGGATAGGGATGGGGAAGAAAAGGTGTCGGAGCAGGGACAGTACAAGGAAAGTACAAGCAGCCATGGAGTGGCATGGAGGTGCTGTGGATACGCAGGGAGGGCAGGGTGTTAAGGGTGTCTGGGGGTGCAAGAGCTCATAGAGGGGACAGGAGAGGACTACTGCCAGGCTGTGCTCAGGGATCTATAGGGCTGTGGATGTGGGGTGCTGGGTCTGTTTGTCCCATTGCTGAGGAATGGGGAACTGCAGGAACAGAGCTGCTGCAGATGCTGCTATCCCTGCAAATCAGGGACACATTGCAGTGTGTCTCCCATGGCACCATCCAGACTCAGGACACAGATGTTCTGCAGGCACTGACCTGTTACAGGCAGGCAGCTGTAATAGTCACAGGTACAGCTGTTGGTACACACACTTCATGTGTTGCCTTAATGCGGATTTTATCATTCCCCATCTTACCCCCATGGTCAGCACCAGCAGGCAAGTGGGTTTAACACTCAATGAGGCCAATCCCAGTATCAGGAGCCAGGGGAAGTTGCAGATGTGCTTCTTTATCCTCTGCATGGAAATTGCTCCCAGGAGGGTTTTCTCTATCCTCTTGCCAGCAATGGAGGTGATGTGGTTCCTGATCACAGAGGCACCTGGGGACACTGATTCATATGCTGTACCCCACTGCTCCATCCCCAGTGCAGGAGCTGTACCCACATGCATCAGGAGCCCCGGGGTGCGTGGCCCCTTTCTAGCTCAGGGTGCTTTGTGTCCTCCCAGTGGCATCGCTTCTGCCTTAGTTTCCTCATCAGACCCCATCTGACAGGGGAGACACCAGGACACAGGGATGGGGTGAGGACATGAGCTTGTTGTTGGTATGACTCATCTTGTCTTTTAGGAGCATCTTGAAAATTAGCTTATCTATGTAGTCTGTCAAAGGGGAGATTAGCCCAGTGATTTAACTAACCAAATGTGTTTGAATGGGAGAGGGGGGGTCAAGACCTCATGGCCTCTGCAGACCTCTCTCCAAATGCATAGATGTTGTGCACCCAAATGTACATAAGGAATGTGCCTTTGTTCTGTTAGTGTGCACAATTAGGTGGAAGGATCCCCTATTCATCCATGACAAATTAAAAAATGCCTGCTTCTTAATATCACATTCATCTTAAGGAGTTTTATTTGGGCTGGGGTTTGTCCGGCAACAGTTTTGGTGACCCAGGTGGGACATTGCTTCTGAGCCTCAGCAGATTCTGGAATCGCAGGAACCCCATCGGGCACTGAAGGGATTCTCAGGGAGAGCCTCTGATCCCTGGGCTGAAAAGCTGAGGGTGTTATAGGGGTTCACAAGGAGATCCCCTCTGGAGTGCTTGTTGAAGCATTGGAAAGAGATAGGAGAGGATCCATACACAAAAGACAGCTGGGGGAATACTGCAGTCATTGTTGGTCCCTGTATGTTTTGGAGGATTCGTATGGTGTAGAAGCAAAGGATTTAAGCATGTTAATGAATGGAGCATGGAAGTTCTATAATAACTGGAAGAGAGCAGAGACCAGACAGGCCTGCTGGAATGCTGATCATAGCCTAGATTCAGGCTCAGGGAGGACCCAGAGAGGGAGAGGGAGAGGCTGGGGTGGTCCACCTCCCTTGAAAATACATATGGGCAAGACAGTGCTGGAGGTGCCATGGCACTGCTCGCTGGCAGAGAATGCCCACTCACTAAAGTCTCTGTCTCTCCAGCAGCAGTTCTGCCCCATAGTGAGCAATGAAGAGGACAGGGGAAATCATTCCCAGCTGAACCCCTGGTTACTATACAGCTGGGAAACAGAAAAGTGGACACCAAAGCCACATATTCCGTTTTAAATACATGTAGAGGTAATTTTAGTTGTAAAACTGTAAATGCTGTTTATGTGCTGACACGGAGGGCAAGAGAACCACCCATTTTTACAACCTTTGCAATTCCGATTAGGGAAAAAAAGGCTAAAGCATTAATTCTTAGACATTCCAGACTGCCCTCAGTTAGGAAGGACTCGTGGAGTAAGTTAGGGGCACAAATAACCTTCAAGGTCAGAAAAGTTCTATTCCAGGTCCCTGAATGCAAAGCAGAAGAGATAAGAGGCCTTGTTGCTGATGAATTCCCACCACAGGCAGAGGAAATACCAAAGGAAGTGAAGGATGCAGTAGTGCCTCTGAACTGGGGCAGTGAGGTCCCAGGATGCTCAAAACAAGCTATTCCGGTGAAGGTACTCTTCAAATCAGAGGTTAAACCAGTTACACAGAGCCCAATGAAACTAGAGGCCAGGCAAGGGCTTTCAGAACTGACATCAAATTTTGTGAAACTTAGTCTACTAGTGGAGTGTGAATCTGAGTACAACTCATTTATACTACTGGTTAAGAATCCACATGGGAAAGGGTACAGGTTGTGCAGGATCTGAGAGCAGCTAATCAGATCACAGAGGATATACATCCAGCAGTGGCAAACCCCTACACTCTGTTAATGGCTTTGAAAGAGCAACACAGATGGTTTACGGTGTTAGATGTCAAAGATGCTTTATTCTGTATACCTCTGGATGTGGAAAGTGAGGCAACTTTCACAGTAGAATGGGAAAAACCAGAGACCAATTAAGACTCAACTCACATGGACAGTCCTGCCACAAGGTTTTAAGAAAAGCCCAAGTATGTTCAGGAACCAATTAGCTAAGAGGTGGAGGTATGAAAAGAGAGACCCTGGAAGGAGGGCTCGGTGTTACTGCAGGATGTGTGTTGCACAGTCCTGGCTGCAGGCACCAATGAGGAATGCATGTGCATAACAGTCAGATTTACTAAATCTGGGACTCGAGATTTTGCAGAGTAAGCATTTGTTGGGGATGGATGGGAAGGAGGAGATCTGCTTCACTCTGGAAACTTCGACCTTCAGAGAACTTACAGTCTTCCTCTGGATGACAGGTTGGTGCAGACTGTGGATCCCAAACTGCAGACCCCCAGTAAGACCTCTCTTTGAGACTCTAATAAGCCTGGGGGAGAAACATTTGGTAATCCAAGTGACAGAAGGCCTTTAAGGAGTTAAAGGTAGCATTAATGTCAGCCCCCTGCTCCAGGGGTACCAGACTTACCCAAAGCTTTTGAGCCATTTGTTCATAAAAGAGAGCATCCTGCACTGGGCATGCAGGCTCAACAGTTATGCCCCTGGAAAAGAGTAGGGGACACTTCTGTAAACAGACAGATAATATCAGCAAAGGATGGCCTGCATGTCTGAGAGTGCAGCAGCGATGGTCCTGCTGATACAGGAAGCCCACATGTTGGTCTTGGGCAGAGACTGTATGTACCACATATGGTTATCTCAGGGCTGGATAAATAAGGAATTAATCATAACAATGTGGAGCTTAAAAGCACAATGGCAGCTAATCCAGCCAAGGCTCTCATTGTGGAAGGTGAGGGAAATGTGGACTTGAATGATGACTGTTTGCAGAACACTGAACAAGAATATTCCAGCTGCCAGGATCTGAAGGACAAGCACCTCTCTGAACCAGACGTAATATTGCTCACTGCTGGCAGCAGCTTTGTCCAAGAGGGACAGCAGAAGGTGATGGGGTTTACAATAGGTACAACCACCTAAGTGGTGGAAGCAAAAGCCCTGGAGGCAATACTTCAGCTGATAGCACTGACATGGTGCTGCAGGCCAAAGAGGCTTATGGTTTGTTATATTGATCCCAATCCCTCCAAATTAAGAGTCAGAACAAAGTCAAGGTGTTGACTGAGCAAGGTTGTGTTTCATTTACTTATTGAAAGATGGGCAAGTGAGAGAGGAAAAGGAAGAGAGGAGAGAGAGAAAAAAAAGGAAAGAAAAGCAAGTCACCACTGCAGATCACATGATGTCCTGAGGGTCTGTCCTGCTTCTCTTTCTAGGGTGGTCAGGATGTGGTGGGGCTAACACTGCTGGCTGTGGGGCTGGCTTTGCCTGTGATGGTTCCTTCCAGTCAGGCCAGGAGCTGCTGCCAGGAGGAGAGTGCCCAGTGCCATACACTGGGCCACGAGCCACACCACTGTGCTTCTCCCTCCTATGGTGGTTGTGTCCGGGGAGAGGGAGACCCAACACCACCAACAGCAGGACAGCTCACCCCTGGCTTCTCTGTCATGCTTTCGTACAACGTGTGTTTTTGTTCTGCACCTCTCACAAAAGTGTGACAGATAAGGTTTTGTTCTGAGACCTTCACAGAACTGTTACGGCTGTTTTTAGTCACCAGTTAGCTGCAAGTCCATCTCTTAACCAATCAGGAGGGTGAGAAATCACCATGTTACAGTTCCATATGGTGTCATAGAGTCTGAGCCAGAAAGAAAAACATCACTTCATTCCCACAACTTCCTTTATGCCTTCCCCTTCCCATGTTCCTTTAACCCTTCCCCTTTCCTTCTGTTTCCCCTTCCACTGCCTCCTTCTCTACCCACTCCCCTCCCACCTTCACCTTTCCCTTTCCCCTTTCACTTGCCTTTCCCTTCCCCCTTACCCTTTCCCCTTCCCTTTCTCCTTCCCTTCTCCTTCCCATATCCCTTCTCTTTTTCTTTTCCCTTTCTCCTGCCCTTCCTCTTTCCTTTCCCTTCTCCTCCTCTTCCTTTCTCTTCCCCTCCCCTTTCCCTTTCTCCTTCCCCCTCCTGTTCAACTCCCACCTTCACCTTTCCCCTTCCCCTTACCTTCCCCTTACTTTCACCTTGTCCTTCTGCTTCCTATGACTTTTAACCCCTCCCCTTTTCCCTTACAATTCCCCTTCCTCTCCCCTTCCCTTTCCACATCCCGTTCACCTTATCCTTACCTTTCCCTCAGTTCTCATTTTTCCTCCCCTTCCTGTTCCTTTCCCACCTTCTTCTTACACTTACCACTTTCCTTTCTCTTCTTCTTCCCTTTTCCTTCCCCTTCACTTTTCTTCTTTCCCTTCTGCTCCCCTTTCCCCTTCCACATCCCCTTCACCTATTCTCTCCTCTTTTCCTTCCCCTTCCCTCCACCCCAGCCCCTTTCCATTCTCCTTCCATGCCCCTTCACCTCTTCCCTTTTCTTGCCCCTTTCCCTAACCACTCCCCTCCTACCTTTCTTTTTCTCTTTCCTCTCCCCCTTCCAATTTCTCTTCCCTTTCTCATTCCCTTTCCACCTTCATCTTAATTCTTTCCCTTCTCATTACTGTCTCTTTCCCCCTTCCCCTTGCACTTCACCTTCCACTTACCCTTCTCCTTACTCTTATCCTTCTCCCTTACCCTTATGCTTACCCTTATCCTTTGCCCTTCCCGTTCCCTTTCCCCCTTACACTTAACTTACACTTTGCTCTTCCTTTACTCTTTCATTCTTTATTCATTCTCCTTCCCAATCTCCTACCCTCTTTCTTCCACTTTCCCCTTTCCTTTGCACTTCCCCTTCCCCTTCCCTTTCTCCTCCCCCTTACTTTTCCCCCTTATCCTTTTCCCTTCCCCTTTCACTTCCACCTAATTCTTACTTTTACTCACTCCCCTTCCCCTCCCCTTCCCTTACTGATTTCCCCTTCCCCTTCTCCTGCTTCCTCTTCCTCCTGTGCTTCCCCTTCCCTTTTTCCTTTCCCTTTGCCCTTCCCCTCCTCTTCTCTTTTCCTTCCATCTTTTCCTTCCTCTATCCCCTTACTTTCCCCCTCACATTCCCTTTTCTTTATCCCTTTCCCCTTCCAATTTCCCTTAGCCCTTTCCATTCAACTCCCATCTTCCCCTTTCCCCTTCTCATTCCCCTTCCCCTTCCCTTCTCATTCCCCTTCCCCTTCCTTTCCATTCCCCTTTCTCTTCTGCTTTGCTATCATCCTTCCCCTTTCCCATCTCCTTCCCCTTGCTTTCCAATTCCCCTGTTTCCCTCCCCCTCCATTCCACAATTCCCTCCCCTACCTGCTCCCCCCACATTTCTCCTTTCCCCTTCTCCTTTCATTTCCTCTTTAACCTTCCCCATTCCCTTCCCCTGCCCACCCCCTTTCCCTTTCCTCTTCTCCCTTTCCTTTTCCCTTCCTCTTTCTCCATCCATTTCCCCTTCATCCTTCCCTTTCTTCTTCTTCTCCACCCTTCCCCTTTCCTTTTCATCTTCTCCTGTCCCCTACCTGTTCCCCTTCCACCTTCCCTTTCTCCTTCCTCTTCTCCCTTCCCCTTCTACTACCTGTTTCCTTCCCATCTTCCCCTTTCCCACTCTCCTTTCCTTCTCCTTCCTCTTTTTCCTTTCACCACCTGATCCCCTCTCACCTTCCCCTTCTTCTTGCCCTTCCCCTTCCCTCTTCTTGTCTTCCCCATCCCCTCTCCCTGCTCTTTACGCCTTTCTCCCTCCTCTTCCCTTTCTCCTTCCCCTCCCATTTCCTTTTCCCCTTCCCTCCCCCCTCTCCTTTCCCTTTCCACTTCCTCTTCCTTTTCCTCCTTCCCCTTCACCCTTCCTTTCCTTTTCCTTTCCCCTCCTGTTCCACTCCCCTTTGCCTTTCTCATTCCCCCTTCTCTTTCCATTTCCCCCACCCCCCTTCCTCCTCCTGTTTCCCTTTCCCTCTCCCCTTTCTCTTCCTCCTTTCATGTCCCTTCCACTCCTCTTACCCTTTCACTCTCCCCTTCCTTTACTTTTCCCCTTCAGTGAATCCTTCATCTTCAGTCTTCTCCTACACCTTTCTCCTTCTCTTCTCCTTCTCCCTTCCTCTTTTCCCTTCTCCATCCCCTTCCCCTTCACTTCCTCCTTTTTCTCCCCCTTCCTTATCCTCCTTCCCCATATCCTTTCCCCTTCCCCATCTCCATTCCCCTGCCTCCTTCCCCTTCCCCCTTCTTCTTCTCCCTTCTCTTTCACCTGCCCCTTCTCTTCCTTTTTCCTTTGCCTCCCTCTTCCCTTCCCATTCTCCTTATTCCAGCTTCTTCCATTTCCATTCCCCTTCCTCTTCTCCCTTACCCTTACTCTTTGCCCTTCACCTTCCCCAGCTGTCTCCAGTTCACCCCCAACTTTGTCACTATGGTGCCATCTCCGTGTCCCCAGTATCCCCAGTGCCTCCACTGTCCCCAGTGTCCCCATGTCCCCCACTATCCCCAATGCCTACAATGTCCCCATTGCCCCCATTGCACACAATGTCCCTATTGACCCCCTCCAAAAAAAGCACTTTGCACCAGCCCCGTTGTCACCCCCCATGCCGTGACCCACATCCTGTATCACCGTGGCTAGGAGGTGTATGTCACTCCCCCTCGGAGTGACTCATAGCTGCCGGGAACCTCACATATAATTTTTTTAGAGGGGACAGGAAGTATCACCCCCCAACTTGTGGAGCGGTGACGTGTGAAGGGTGATGGTGGGGGTGGGGATGTTGGGGTAGGAGGTGTTGGAACACACCCCACAGCTGCAGACACAGCGGAGAGGACAAGTGAGTGCCAGTATCCCCATGTTCCTTTGTCCCCTTGTCCCCATATACTTATATCCCTGTGTCCCCATATCTCCGTGTGCCCATTTGCCCACGACCCCTTGTCACTATGTCTCTATGTCCCTGTGTTCCTATGTCCCCATGTCCCCATGTCCACCTGTCCTTGTCACTGTTCCTATGTTCCCGTCTCCTTATCCCCATATTCCCAAGTCCCTCTATTCCCATATCCCCATGTCCCTCCCATTCCTATATCCCTGTGTCCCCACCTCCTCCACCTCCCCAACCTTCTCCATGCTCACACCCCCATGGACTCACCACATTTCCATTCCCCTGCAGCCGATCACCATGAAGTCCACTCCCCACTGTCTTGCCTTCTCAATCTTCCTCCTCTTCCATCATCTCCCCATCATTTACCCCCAGTGCCACCGTGCCGTTGGCAAATCCTGCCATGTCCCCCCTGTTCCTGGCACCGACATTCTGGGCTCAGGTCTGGATGTCACCACCATGTCCCTCACCGAGGGCCAAGTGTTGGCCATCACCAAACCCACCAGAAGGCACTGCGTTGTCTGCGTGGACCATCTCCACAAAGGACAGTCCCTCCTCCTCTACAATGGCATCAGCAAGTGGCGAGCAGGGAGTAAGTGCCAGCAGAGGTCCTCACTGGCCTCTGGCAGCCAATCCATGAGGAAGCTGGTGGCCCAGACAGAGAAGATCGCGCAGAATTGGAGAGTGGGGCTGGAGGCAGCCCTCAGCCCAGGGGTGGGGGTCACCCTGGCCATGGCCGGGTCCCATTCACGCGTGGCAGAATTTGGGATGCAGAAGGAGCGGGAGGACCGCTACTCATTCGCCAGCACCGAGCTGCGCTGCGTGCACTACTGGTGGGGCTCCAGCTCCCTCATCCTTTCTCCCTGCTTCTCCATCTCCTCTCCTCCTCCATCTCCCCCAGCTCTTCCATTTCTCCTCCAGTTCTCCTCCATCTCCTCCTTCTCCTCCCTCTCCATCGTGCTCCTTGTCTTCCATCTCTTCTCCATCTCAACCTTGTCCTTCTTGTCCTCCATCTCCACCTCTCTTCTCTCTCCTCTCTCCCATCTCCTCATTCTCCATGTCTTCCTTCTTCTCCATCTCCTCCACCATTGTTCCCTCTCCTTCATCTCCCCCTTGTTCTTCTTGTTCTCCATCTTTCCTCCATCTCCCTCATCTCCATTTCCCTCTCTTCCCTCTCCTCTACGTTCTCCATCTCTCCTCCTTTTTCTCTCCTATATCTCTTCTGTCCCTCCACCTCCACCCTACAGATCCCTCCAACACCCCTCCAACACCCCCACAACACCCCAAATTCCCCACAAATTCCCCACAGATTCCACACAATCACCCCATAGACCCCCTCCAGCACCCCAAAGGCCTCCCACTGACTCCTCCAATCACCCCATAGCCTCTTGTAATCATCACATAAACAGCCCATACTCCCCACTGGTACTTCATAGACACCCCACAGACACCCCCAAATCACCCTGTAGCCTCCCCATAGACTCTCAAACCACTCCAGGGACACCCCAGGGACACTCCACAGAACTCCATAGAACTCACCCACAGATCCCTTCAATTACCCCATCTACAGAACTCCATTGCTGCTATCCACTTGTGCCACACTACTATGATGGGCACGGACACCCAAGAAGTGGCTGATTGTTTGGGTGCAGAAATGACCTCCATAGACACCCCATAGATCCCAATCACCCCACACATGGCCCAATCACCTCATAGGCCCCCCACAGACCCCCCTCCAGTACCCCATAGTCACCCCACAGACCACAAAGAATCCCCCATAGACCTCTCCAGTCACCCCACACCTTTCCTCCAACACCCCATAGACTCCTCAATCACCCCATAGACACTTCAATCACCCTATAACCTCCCCATAGCTCCCCATTAACCACAAAGGCTCCATAAAGCCTCAATGACTTTTTCTCTCTCTCCCCCCCTTCAGGATCTCAGCTTCACATAAACCCAGACCATCCCCCCACTTCCTACATGCTGTTCGATCTCTTCCACCCCACTTCACCCCTGCCACTGCCCCAGATTATGCTGACCTCTTGGCCGCTTATGGCACCCACTACATTCACTCAGCCCAACTGGGCGGCCTCCTCCGCTCCATCACCGCCATCCGCTTGTGCCGCGCTGCCATGATGGGCGCCGGCGCCCAAGAAGTGGCTGATTGTTTGGGTGCAGAAATGACAGCCAACATGAAGTCAACCACATTCAGCGCCATGTCCAGTGCGTGCCGCAAAGCCAAGTCAAAAAACAGTGCCCACGGTGCCTTTAATCAACTCTTTAACGAACGGATGGTGGAGGTGGAAGGTGGCGAGCAACATGGCGACCTCCTCTATGGTGCACCTGAGAACTATGCCGAGTGGTTGAGCTCCCTGCAACGCCTGCCTGGCTTGGTCGCCTCTAACGTCAGGCCTCTGCACACCTTGCTGCCCCGCCAGGACCCACGCCAGGCAGCTCTGAAGGCGGCCATCGGTCACTACATCGCATGGAGAGCACTGAGGGCGAACTGCAGCCAACAGTGTGCCGGTCATGGGACGGTTGGGTTGTGTCAGTGCGGGTGTGCAGCCAACCACGTGGTCAATGCCGACTGCTGTTCCAAACACCGCGGGATGGCACGGGTGACAGTGACAGTGTGGGAGGGCAGTGGATGGCGCGGTGATATTTTCACCGCAACTGATGCGTATGTGCTGCTGTACTTCAGTGGTCACCGTGTACGGACAGCAACGGTGTGGAACAACAATCGGCCCAAGTGGGGTGCACAGTTCGATTTGGGGTGGGTGACACTGCACCTGCATCAAAAGATGAAGGTGGAGGTGTGGGATCAGGATGATGGGTGGAATGACGACCGCTTAGGGGTGTGTGAAGTACTGGTGCAGGCCACAGGCAGACAGCAGCGCAACGTTGTGTGTTTTCCGGGAGGTGGTCACCTGAAGTTCAGCTACAGCGCCACGTGTGGGCCAAGTTTGGGGGGTTCTCAATGTTCAGAGTACATTCCACAGCCCCCAAAACGTCAGGGGGGGCTCTATCGGTTGTCACAGTGGCCACCAAAGACTGGAGGTGATGGCCCTGTGGCATGGCCACAGCATGAGGAAGGAGAGGAGGAGGCGGAGGAGGAGGAAGAGGAAGAGGTGGAGAATTTTTGGGAGGTACTGGGGGTTTCTGAGGGCAATGAGACGATGGTTGAGGATAAGGACCACCAAAATCCATCACCAGATCTCCAAAATCCATCATTCAACCCTCAAAATCTATCAGTGGGTCTCAAGAAGAATCCAGATCCACAGATTCCATTTCCCCGCTATGGGGCAGCTCCTCCAGCCCCATAGCATCCATCCTTCCTCTTGGTGGTGGTCCCACACACAGAGGCCTTTGGTCCTCCAGCCCCAGCTCCTGTCCTGCAAGTTCTGGTGTCTACCAGGACAGATTTCCCTCTCCCCTCAGCTCCACAGCTGTGGGCAGGATTAAATGCTTTTTGCTGCAGCATCCCCTCTGACTTGGTCTGCTTTGTTGGTGGTACACTATGGGTCTCTATGGGGCACTATGGTGCTATGGGACTCTATGGGGCTATGTGGGCTATGGATCTCTTTATTCTGACTTCACCCTCCATGGGACCCTTCGATGCTCCTCCCCACCCCCAATTATGGTGGTGGCCGGGGCACTGCCCCTCCTCCTATTGACTGTGGAACAGAGGGTGGGATCATGGGACAGTGAGAGGTGTAGGGCTGCTGTGGGGCCAAGGAATGCTATGGGGCTGCGATGGGGTGTTGTGGGAAAACAGTGCATCTGCTATGGGGCTGGGAGAGATGTGGGACACTATGGGGAAACTTGGGGTGAGGGACCATGGGGAGGTGTGGGTGGAGCCGTGGTGCAGTGCCATGTACCTCCCCTCCCCCACAAGCTGCCCCCTAAGGGGCGGGGCTACTATGATGGGGGGTGGGTACAGATGTGGGTGGATGAAGCCTGACCGGGCTGGGCAGAGAGGGTGTGTGGCATTGGGATCCACAGAACCCCATAGAGCACAGAGAGCCCCACAGAGCCCCATAGGGACCCATAGAGTCTGATCACATAATCACAGAACTGTAGGGGTTGGAATAGACCTCGTGAGACCACATTAGGCCACCCCAATAAAGAAGTTCCATACAGCAAGTTGCCCAGCTCTGGGCAATGCATCCTGGGGTCCCACTGTCATTCTTGGCCACCAAGGAACACTGCTGGCTCATGATCACCCTGCTGGACACCAGGACACTCGGGTCCTTCTCTGTAGAGATCCTCTCCAGCAGTTCATCCTCTAACCTATACTGATGTGTGCAGTTCTTCATACCAGTTCTGCAGACATTTCTGTTTGTGCAACGACACAAAAACACATCAAATAAGTAACGCATAGTGGGTTCCAGAGATAACAGGGATGCTAAGGCGCAGTCTAAGGCCTTTTATTTCTTTGGCGGGATCCCTGAAGTCTTCTAAGGTGTTTCTTGCCCCTGGGAGAGGCCCGGGGAGACACAGAGACATCCTTTATACTCAAATGCATCTCTGCAGGAACCTGCACTACCTCAGGTACTGCTGCCTCCTGTAACAGAGGCTCTAGGAACAGACACACACAGGCATTAGGTATGGGGGCGTAGGGATGTGGGAAGACAGAACTCAGGACCTGACACTAGGGGAACAGGTGACACAAGAGGCCCTGGGAATAAGGAGGGGACATGGGCAAGCAGAGATCAGACACTAAAACTGGGTGGACATGCAAACAGGGCACAGGGTGACAGAAGCTACAGCTTGACTCCAGTGGCAAGGAAGTGCCTGAGCACAGGGAAGGAGGGACAGGTTAAGAACCTGGCACAGGGCACAGCAAGACAAGGAGAAGACAGGGCTCAAGACAAAGCTGCTGATGGACAAAAAAGGCCACAGAAGAACCATGGGAACAAAGCAATGTACAGACAGCTCTTGGGAATTCCCAAAGCCACCCGTGGTATTGGGCTGCCTTCCAGACTTCTCCCAGAACCTCACAACCCTACAGACTCCCCTTGATCCTTCTGCATGCTGTGGTGCTTCACAAGGCCCTCATCATAATCATAACCACAAGATGCCCCTTTAATCCCACTAGACCACTGGGACCACTGCATGCCCCCAGGAATCCATGGGCATCCCATTACCCTCCCCATGACCTTCCAGCCCCCTGAGACCCTAGGGTATATCCTAGATATGAGGGTGCCCCTCCCCTTACCCTGCAGTCCCTTTCATTACCCTGTACTCCCTTAGACCTGAAATCCCAGCATTTCCCTCATAACCTCTCAGCCAGGGGGATCCCACCTGTGCTGGGATTCTCAGTGGTCTCTCCTTGCTCCTCTGGGAGGGTGGTAGGCATCTCTCCCTCTGGGCCATGCTCAGGACTATCCACATAAACCAGGGTCAAGTCAAGGCAAGCCTGGGCTCAGGGACAGAAGACAGGCAGTGGAATCAGGGCAGGCCATTGCACATTCTATTGCACATTTACTTTCAACAGTGCTGAGCTCACCTGAGGCGTAAAGACGTAGGCATAAAGCTTGGCGTGCCGAAGGACAGTTCCAAAGAGATGGGCTGCGATGCAGGCAACCTGGGTCAGCCCAAATACAGCCACACTGACTGGAGGATGCTACAGTGATGGCACCATGGCAGCAGCAGGCAAGAGAAAGTCAGTGACTGGGAAGCATGCAGGGCATGTGGGAGAGGAGGGGAGGGTATCGGGAGTCTGAGGGTGTAGAGCACAAGGAACATGTAGGTTCTGGTGAGGCTGCAGGAAGTGTGCAAGAGTGTGCTGGCTCAATCAATTACAAGGCAGAAGTGTACAGAACATGAAGGCACCAATAGGAATACCAGGAGTGCTGGGGACATAAGTAAGCATATGGAAAACATGCAAGGAGCACAGGAGGCCCTACAAGTGCGTGGGGAGGATGTGAGGACCACACAGGCTTCAGTAAGTGTAGATGGAGTGTGTCAATGCCAATAACTTTATGAGACATATTTAGGTTGCTGTGAGGATGCTGGGAAATATGGAGAGTATTCAGGGAGCACACTGGTACCACTGAGTGTGTAGGGGTTGTGCAAGGAGCACCTGGGGGCCAATAAGTGTGTGAGGGGTGAAGACTCACATGCACAGCATGGCATAGCAGCAGCTCGCTGAAGTAGGCATAGCATTCCTCCACATCAGGCAGGGGTGTCTCTGGGGTTTGGGCAGTCAGAGGTGAGTGAGACCTTTGCAGTTCTGTGCCCCCTACCACCCCCCGGGCCCTGCACTCACGGGTGCACATGGAGATGGCACAACGCACAATGCCCAGCAGGGCCGAGAGTGGCCCTAGGGACAACTCTAACTCCTGGCCCAGTTCCACAGCAGCCTCATAGGCATCCAGAAGGACAGGGGGACCCGGCAGGATCTCTGCCAGTACACTGGAAGAACAGGCATACCATTAGAGGATCTGACAGGGACACTGGGGAGAACATGGACATGAAAGGGACAACTTGGGACAACACAGCAGGGAAACCAAAAGGGACTAGAACATCCTTCAGTGATGCAATGTGGGCACTTTCAGGGAGAGGAATAGGAATACATTGGGACACTCCGAGAGGTAGGATACAGTGGTAACAGCCTATGGGGAGGACAAGGACACCTAGAGGGCTGTGAAGGAGAACAGCAACACCAGTGAGAGATACGGGGCATCTTAGGAAGGAACACATGCACCCAGGATTGGGTTCTATGGTGTCTTGAGTGGTACACTGGGACTGACAGAGAACCAGGATACCACGTGGATGAGAGGAAAACTACAGGAATATGAAGGTGAATGGCATTAACCCAGTGACATCCCTGGGTATCCTGAGGTGAGGTACCAGGGTTGTCTTAGCGGTCTCAGGCATGGTGGTTTTTTAGGGGTTCCCAGAAGCATTTTTCAGGTGTCCTATGCATGCCTAGAGCATGTTCTGGGGTTGTCCCACAAGTGTCTGGAATCTCCACAATGTCCCAGGTGCTCCAGAACGGTTCTACAGTGTCTCCAGCGTGCCCTGTTCTTGTTCTGGTGGCTGAGCCCTCAGGTGCTTTTTCTCCTGAATGTCTCAAGTGACCCAGGGTAGCCCAGGGTGCTCTAGAGCGTGCTAGGTGTCCAAGACAACCCCGTCCCCTCACTTACACACGTCGATCCTGCTGGGTTGGGGCTGCCTGAAGTTGCTCCATGGCCACTACATCCAGGTCTGTCCTGCAGAGACAGCTAAACTAGGGAATGGCAGGGTAGAGAGGACAAGGGACAGGGGGACAGATAGAGACAGTGGAATCTGAGGGAGAAGGAAGATAGCTGGGGATGTGGGTATCCAGATATGCAGTTGGGAACCCACTGACATGAATAGTTCTGAAAGGAAGAATACTGGACAGAAAGGAGGAAGGGGCAACTGTGGACAGATGAGAATAGGAGACCTGAGCACAGCTGGGGACAAGAGGGTAAAGCAGATCCAGGGTGGATATTTCAGGATAGGGCAATACTCACCACAGACGGATCCCAGTTTCACAGCTGTCAGGCTGGGACAAAAAGAACAGGGCTGTGAGCACAGGCACTGTAAAAGCCACCGCCCAACCCCAAGTCCAGGAACGAGGGAGCCCCAGCACGGCCAGCACCATCCGCGGCAGGGATGGGCACATGACATCCGCAATCCAACCGACAGAGCCATCGCCGGGGAAAGGTGCAGCCTCACCCCGCCGAGCAGGGCCACTTCCACGTCCACACTTAGGCGCAGGGACGGGGCGCCTCCGAGCTGCCAGCGCGGCCACAGCCGACCTCACCACAGGGGCCTCTCCAGCCTCAGCACATCTGCCTCAGAGCCCGACCCTGAGGACATGGGAAGGTCCCAAACCGCTGGCGGGACCTTATCGTCCATCACCGTAAGCCCTTCACCACGGCCCGCGGGCCGCACTACGGCTGCCACGGTGACACAACACCGGACAGGTGCTGCAGTGCGGAGCCGGCGCTGCCCGCCCACCGCAGTCGGCTGCACGGCCACGACCGCTCCGAGCCGCTCCGTGCGCTCCCACCTCTCTGCTCCTTGCCGTTGCCATGGCTGCCGCCGCGCCGCCGCGCCAGAGGAAGCAGCCACTCGGGAGGAGGTTTGCTGCAAGGTGCGGAAAGCGATGGCCAATCAGAGAAGCTTTCCCTGCTGTCCTACAGCGAGTGGAGAAAAGACGCTAGCCAATCCCCATCGCCATCCTTCCGAGGTGGCAGGGATTCTAACCAATCACAGAGTGACTTCTTAGCAGCACCCTGCTTTCGGTCCTCCATTGCAGTTTCTGGAGCAGCAGCCAGACGGGATGGTAGCCATCCTTCCTTCCCCGTAACGTGGAGATGCTAAACAGAGGAACTGAGGGGGCCTTCATCTACTATCATTGGTTATGAGGAAAAACAAACACCACAAATATGAGGAGGCCGTTTAACAGAACCAGTAAGTGCATCCACGATATATGCTCATCTAAGAATTCTCTCTTTGAAAGATGATGGAATATCGCTGGTATCCATAATAGAAAGAGGCAAATGTAAGATTGTGCAAGGCCAACAAATGTGCTTTCATTTGGTTACCTGGCCAGAGAGCTACCTGGAGGTCTTGATGGATAAGGAACTTAACATGAGCCAGCAGTGTGCTCTTGCAGCTCAGAAAGCATATGGTCTCCTGGGCTCCATCAAAAGAGGGGTGGCCAGCAGGGACAGGGAGGTGATTGTCCATCTCTGCTTTGCTCTTGTGAGGCCCCATCTGGGGTACTGTGTCCAGGTCTGGGGCCTCCAATACAGGAAAGACAGAGAGTTGTTGGAGAGGGTCCAGAGGAGAGAGCTGCAAAGACGATCGGGACTGGAGCAGCTCCCCTACGAAGACAGGCTGAGGGAGCTGGGCTTGTTCAGCCTGGAGAAAAGAAGGCTGTGGGTTGAGCTTACTGCAGCCTTTCACTGCCTAAAGGGAGCCTACAAACAGCAGGGGAATCACCTCTTTGAAAGGGTAGATAACAACAGGGGAATGGTTTTAAGGGGAAATGGTTTTAAGTTGAGGGAGAGAAGATTTAGGTTGGATGTCAGGGGGAAGTTTTTTACTGTGAGGGTGGTGAGGTGCTGGAACAGCTGCCCAGAGAGGCTGTGGATGCCCCATCCATCCCTGGAGGTGTTCAAAGCCAGATTGGATGGGGCCCTGGACAGCCTGAGCTGGTATTAAATGGGGAGGTTGGTGGCCCTGCATGTGGAAAGGGAGTTGGAGATTCATGATCCTTGAGGTCCCTTCCAACCTGGGCCATTCTGTGATTCTGTGAAGCATAACATGGATGTACCTACATCTCATACACACCGGTTCTGATGGTATTGAGCTCATGTGGCATCATGGAAAGATGCTTTCTCTTTATTTCCTCAAAGGTCGTCAGATTATGTCACTTTTAATCTTATTAGAAGTGGAGTACAAGGCAGAAAGAAAATGGTGTTCAAACTTGGCCACACAGTAGTAAGTGGTACTTGAAACAAGTCAGCCATTCTTCTGGTGAGTCTCTCGTCCTCCACTTGTAACCCTACCCTTTCTTTTACCTCTCTTTTCTTCACCTTCTCGTCCATTTTTGCAAATGATGTTCTTTTTGTGTCCTGCAGTGGTTGCAGATGGAAACGTCTGAACTGTACTTTTCTCTGAAAATAAATAAATAAACAAAGTGAGCTTTGCTTTTTTTTTTTGCTTTTTTTTGCTTTTTTTTTTTTTGTGGGGGGGAGGAACAATAAACTGAGTATAAGATTTGAGAATATTCCTATTTTGGCCCAACTGTTAACAGACAATTGTCAGTCCATTATTTGTACCTACTTACATACCTGTAAACTTCCCAGCAAACTGACCACATGCAACTGATACTTGCTGCTTCTTGTAAGCATCTTAGAAACTGCTAAAGCTGCTGCTAATACTGCTAATAACTTCAGGACTTTGTAAAAACTTCAGGAGTTTTCCTCACGAGGTACAAAATAAAAGCTAATTGCATTATCCCACAGTTAAAAGCACAGGAAGCAGAAAAAGGGAGCAGAAATCAGAGGCTCTTGGAGCAATAGACTGAATGGCTCAAAGTGATGTAAGTTAGGGAACTTCACGTCTCTCTGTATTGGAGAGAAGAAATAAAAAAAAGAAACAAACAAAACAAAAATAAAGAAACTTTTTAACTTTGAAATTAACCAGAAAGGAATATAATGTATGAAAAGTATTTTTATTAGCAGTCCTCTCACTTAAGTAAGCTTGTATGTTTTAATTATCACCATTACTTAACACAGATCTGGGACAAACACATTTAAAAATATAGCTGTAATTTTCAAAATGACCATTAATTGAGATTCTCTCAGTTTCATACTGAAAGTGGTCACAGCCATAAGTAAGGCTGTCATATCCTCTTTAGCACCACTAGAACAGTGTGTAAAGGCACTTCAGGATACACAGGGGATGGACTACATTGTCAATGATTAAAGGGGATGATTCTCTTCTACATAAATCTACAAATTATCATGAGAAAGATGCCAAACAATTGTGTGCAGTGAGGTCTATTTGGTTGGGCATTTGAGTGAACACCTTTACCAAAAACATGGCAGATGGAAAATGCTTTATACAGCTCCAGTGTTTAAGAATTGTTATTATATATGTATTAAAATTTAGTTTTTTTGGTTTTGTTTTTTAAGAATGAATTGTAACTACTCTGTGAGGTAAGAGAGGGTTGTTTCGCTTTGTTTGATTTCACTTACAATGTCTTGGACAATTATAAGAACAGCTTCAAACAAAACATTATTGGGCAAGTTGAAAAATGTTGAGATAATTTTCTGGATCTTATGCTCCTTTTCTTGGTGGGGAAAATAACAAGTTCACTAGAGAGTTCTTGCTCCTCTACTCCTTGAAAATGTGATTTGCTGTTGGATGGATTAGTACAGGTCTGTACAGCATCAGGATCCACCTACCAAACTGGAGGTAGTGTGCTTTGCAACAGTTTTTCTGCATCTCCTTCAGAACATTTTATAACAGTAATCAGTTCTTTAGACATAAATGGCTCTGGTGTGTGGCACCAGAGTCACCATTTCAAGTGTTCCCAAGGTGATAAAAGACTGAAAATATCAACCTGTCACTATCAAACTATGAACAACAAACATTTCACACTCTGCTGCTATAGTAAATCAAACCCGGACCTGTCATCTCCTTCATATTTCTCTTCATTCCACCGTTCTATCTGTATTCTTTCTTGTCTTCCTACTCCCATTCATATCTTTTTTCTTTCTCATCACAAAACACAGTACGATTGAAGTCAGAACAGGCCACTTGAGCTGGCTGCCCAGGGCTCTGTCCAGGATGTCTTCTCAGGATGGAGACTCCACAACCTCTCCAGACAACCTGTGTCACCATTTGTCCACCTGGACGGTAAAAACATGTTTTCTTGTGTTCACATATCATTTCATGTGTCTTGTGTTTCCGTCACCTCTGGTCTTGTCACAGTGAAGAATTTTTCATCTTCATTAACCACTCCTATCAGGTATTTCTACATATTGATGAGATCCCACTGCATCTTCCTCACGTTGAGGATGGTGAATCTCACATCTCTCAGCCTCTCATCACATGACATCATTCCCTATCATTCCCTACTTCCCATAATCTTTTATTCCCACATATCTTTGCATATGCTTTTCCATCTATGGCAAGAATGCACATAGAATGGCTTAGTTTGGAAAAGACTGCTACAGTGGAAATGCTAAGTCACAGCCTGAAGCAGTGATTGAGCAGCTGGTGGGAAAGCAGGGCCAAAGGAGCTCAAACTGCACACAGTGCACCTGAGTGGCAGAAGAGATGGAGCCAGGATCCACTCCTTCCCAGATCTCATTTAAGGGCTGGCAATGGAGTTAAGAAGATCTTGCTGGAGATTCCTGCATACTTGAGGTCATCTGAAGGTAAGCAACTTCTTTCCTTTATTTCTGCATCCATAGCTATTGCACATGAGCAAATCCTCACTTTCTGCAGCCTGGGAATTTGCTGCTCTGCTGTCATTACTGCACTTCCATTGCATTACAACCGAAGATCATGAACTCCAACCTACAGCACTGCCAAATCTACCACTAACCCAAGTCCCTAAGCACCACATCTATGTGTTTTTCAAATGCCTCCACAGATGGTGACTCAGCTACTTCCCTAGGCCTGTTCTAGTATTTCACAACCCTTTCAGTAAAGAAATGTTTCCTAATATCCAGCCTGAACCTCCCCTGGTGGAGGCCATTTCCTCTTCTCCTATCACTTGTTGCCTGGGAGAGGAGACCAGCCTCCCCCTCATCACAAATTCCTTTGTAGGAGGTAGGTGTAGGGAGCAGTAGTGTGTCCCCTGATCCTCCTTTTCTCCAGGCTACTTTCACATTGGGGCCAACCTGGGTGCCATTATACCAGGTGGATGCTTAACCCCAGCACCTGATTTGTGTAAGTGGTTCAGCAGTACTACCCAATGAGAAGAGCTGGCAATCACTAGCCAGCTTAGGGGCCACAGGGAGCTATAAACAAGTGAAAGGAATGGCCCTGGGAATGTGGCTTGATCCAGGATGTGTCAGAACACCTTTAGTGGAGGCTCTCATTTCTCTTGAACGGATGGGATCCCATCTGCTGTTTCATCCCACCTGGTGATCCGCTGAACCCCTTTTGTTGTTAGTGAACTGGCATGAAGCCCAGTAAAGGCTGCCAGCTGCCTCAGCTTCACATTTCTTTGTGCAACACGTCTACTTTCTGTCATGCCTTGTTATTTCTTGCCATTTCTTCGTACTTCTTTCTATTCCCCATCACTCTTTTCTATTCCTATCTACTCTTTGTCATTTCCTTTTATTCTGTCATTTCCTATTGTCGTTATTTAATGTCTGATGTTTCTTCCTATTTCTGTGCATTCCCCAACATCTCTGTCATTCTTTCCTCTACCATTTCTTTCTATGTTCATTTCCTATCATCACTGCCTGTATTCTGCTCCTTCTTTCTACTTCATGACATTTATTTTTCTTTCTATACCCTGATGTTTCTTCCTGGATTATTTTTTTTTCCTTAGATTCTCTTTCCTTTCCTGTCTTTTCCACTTTTCCTTTCTGCAGAACGCCTTTGTTTCTAGCAGGATTCTCTTTTTGATGTTTGCCATACGGGATAGGGATTACTGCATTAAGAAGCAGTAGCTTTTGTCGTGACTAGGTTCACATAGTTGTAGTGCTGACACACTACATTTTTAAAGACAAAGTAATACAACTCTGTTTTCTAAATTAATTAATATATTTTTTTCCTGTTCAAGTCCTTCAATGTACAGCACCCACATTACCCTCTATTCTCTCCACTGAAAATTCCTTCAGTCAGTATTTTGACAATATGTTGATCTCAGATCAGCATGGCTGTAAGCATCACACATTGCACTGTAGTTTTCCTTGGCCAAACTGTCCATTATATATATCTATATAACAAAAGTAAAACAACAACAAAAACCCATCAACTTAGGTAACCCGTTTTCTTCAATAACATTTTCTGTTTGCTTTATCAAAGGTAAAGAAGGACTATAGGAAACAGGGAGAACTTGGGCCAAATGAATGTCAGTGAGTTACAGGGAAGCCAACGGTCACAATTCAATAGTGAAGACCCGTCATCTCATTCACACAGCCTCCAGTTGCTGAGGGTAAGAAATGCTGTCTAAGCAATAAATGCAACACTGAACAAATTAGACTTAGCAGCACTTTGCCAAATACATTTTTGCAGAAAGGTATGGATGCAGTGACTTCATTTATGAAGAAAGGTCAAACTTCTCGTTAGTCTGTGAGCTTTATCAAACATTTAAGCTTTTCATATTTTAGGAAAATTCTGATTTTTTTTTTTTTTCAAATCAGAATCTTTAAATAGAAGCAACATACCCCATTTAATTGGTAAAATCTCTGTTATTTGTGGCCTCGGCTGTAATTTATCAGACCTGCCCAGCATTCTTCAGCTTTATTTGTTACCACTGCAGCAGCTTTGAACACAGCACATTCTGCTCTGAACACCACTTTTCTTATCATTTCGTTATTCTTCATTCTTATTTTGAGGATGAAGAAAAAATTTCACTGATTGGAGTATCATTCCATTCTCTTGCTTTGACCGTCTCATTTTGTTTGCCAAGTTATGCCACTATCTTAGAAAAACCGCTAAAAGATATCCAGAGCCCCATCATGGTAAGCAAATCCATCTGATGTTATTTATCTCTAGTACAAAGATTTTAACTGTATCCAGACTACTTAAAAGTCTCATCTCAGACAGCCTCTAAAAGACAGATCACTCACAGGATGACAGTAGTTCTGTATTTATCCTCATATTCGGCATATCTCCTCATTCACTCAATGTGAGCATCTGCTAAAGTAGTACAATTTCATCCATACAGATAATGAGCTCATCTCTGTCATCCCTGGAGGTGCCCTAGGCCATGGATGGGCCCTAGGCAGCCTGAGCTGCTGGGGGACAGCCAGCCCGCAGCACAGGAGTTCGAGCTGGGTGTTCTGTGATGTCCCCTCCAACCCAACCACCCTGTGATTCTGGGCTAGTCTTCTACTGCTTCTGTTGTGGGTTTGTGCAGTCTTAAAGCTGGTGGTTTTCCAAAACATTCAAGTGAATGTTCTTATTTAAATTTCTTCATTTACTTCTTCATATACTTCTTCAATTCAAAGGAAGGCATGCCCTGGTTATTATTACATAAACACAAACTACCATGCTAACATAGCAATGATGGCTGAACCTACCCAGCGATCCTGAGCACTCATGACTGTGTCGTTCATTCCAGGATTTCCTTCTGCAAGCCTCACTGCAGGTAAAGACCTCATAACAACGTTTGCAGGGTGACAGCTGGACACCAACAGAACGTCCGCACTGATAGCAGTATTTAAAGATGGGCAGCCTGGAACAAAGGTCGTTGTCAAACAGAAGTACGTTATTGTTCTTTTTAGCCTCATTCTTGACAATTATTCTGAAGTTGAAATATAAAACAAAGTGTACTTGGACTAAGGCTGCTAGTGGGACTGGGAAGCAGACTGTTAGATCTAATTCCAAGCTGGGCTCTGCTCTTACAGGTTTTTTAAAAATTTAGGAACTCTTCACAGCACAGAACTCCATAGCATGACCTGTCCAAGCCAAACAGTTCTATGCCTGTGAAATCTGACAGGACTAGATGTAAGATAAAGCCAAAGGCTATTCATGCAAAACCTTTCATTCCTGTGATACAATTTTCTTAAAAGCTAAGATAGATCTGAATACATCATAGCTTTCACAGGCAATACTGAATACATTTTATATGCTACCAAATTATTACAGCCTTCCAGCTATTTGATACAGTCTCTATTAGATACACTGCTTTATCCCTGCACAGCAGCAAGCAAGCTGCACTAAGACTTCACCTCTGTCAGTAAGTCATTGCTGAATTTGTAAAATCTTTGTGTGCTTTAACCTTCCAGATTTTCTGTTAGTTCATTTTATGTCACACATGTCCAACCTGCTGGCTTGCCTGGGCCATGCTGAGTGAAGAGGAATTGTCTGGGGCCACATATAAAATACGTAGTTTGCTCCAAAAGTAATGCCTCCTATTTATTTCCTTGGAATCTACAACAGATACAGTGTGCACAGTAACACTGTTTGATAAAGCAAATTATCAGTTACAAAACACAAATTTTCAACATAGTCACCACCATTAGCTCTGCATTTTCACCAGTGATGAACAAGAACCTGTATGCTGTGTCTGTATAAACCTGCACTGGCAGAGGTGACCACTGATTCAGTTTAAAAGATGCAGATATGCTGCTTCCCACAAGATGACTGAATAGTATGCCGACTCTTCTGGTGGAGTCTGAAGATAGAGTGATGTGATAGGACAGAGAAAGAAGGTAACTGCAGCTGATAAGACTGGATAGATGAGAGAAAAATTATAGAAGACAAAAATGGCAGTGCTTGGAAAATATCAGGCCTTGTTATTTTTGACTAAGAACAGTAAATACTTGCATGCATATCTCTGTCCTACCTTCCCTGTTCCTCATGATGGTTCCTCTCTTTTTTCTTTGAAGCACATACACGAATGGCTGAATCCACTAAAACAACATAACAGAGAGGAGACCAGAATCAGTGTTCCAATTAGAGAAATAGAATATTAGTCACAAAATCAGCCTTCGTTAAAAATTTGGGGCACCACACACTATTAGATGAACTGTCTACTGCATAAATCTTGAAGATACTGAATACAATGAATCTTCTGTCAGTGAATCATAGAATCACTTAAGTTGGAAAAGACCGTGAAGATCATCAGTATAACCATCCAATTAAACTACTAAGTCCATCACTAACCCATGTCCTAAACATCACTGCACTGTTCTTAATACCTCCAAGCACAGTGACTCCACCACTTCCACAGGCAGCCTGTTCCAATGCCTGATAATCCCTTATGTGAAGAAATTCTTCCTGATATCCCACTTAAACCAACCTTGGCACAACTTGAGCCTATTTCCTTTGCGTCCTATCGCTTATTGTGTGGGAAAAGAGATCAACCCCCACTTCACCACAAACTCCTTTCATGGAGTTGTAGAGAGCTATAAGGTCTCCCCTGAGCCTCCTCTTCTCCAAACTGACCCATTCCAGTTCTCAGCCACTGCCTATAGAACTGTCCTCCAGAGTCCTCACAGCTCCATTGCCTGTCTCTGGACGTGCTCCAGGGCCTCAATGTCTTTCTTGTAGTGAGGGGCCCAAAACTGAACACAGTACTCAAGGCACAGCCTCACCAGTGCTGAGTATGGAGGACACCTGGGCACACTGCTGTCTCACGTTCAGCCCCAGATCCTTTTCCTCCATGCAGCTTTCCAACCACTCTGCCCAAAGCCTGTAGCGATGCATGGGGTTGTTTTGCCAAAGTGCAGAACTTGGCACTTGTTCTTGTTCAACTTCATCCCACTGGCCTCAGCCTAGCAATCAGCCTGTCCCTGTAGGGCCTTCCCTGCAAAGTTTGTTACTGCAAAGGTAACAATCTGATATTCAGATGTCACTTTCCAAGTGTGATACATCTGCCTCAAAGACTGGTATCAGGAGATTATAAGCCTCAGAAAACATTTGAGAACTACTGGGGAAGACCACTTAGATCATCTTAACTTGTATATATTCATTGTCACTACTCTAATTAATACATTAACTAGAGCATTAGAACAAAAAAGATGCTAGGAAAGCAAGCTCCCTCAATCACTCATTAATAAATGGTAATAGATCTTCTACAGGAATCTACCAGATAGCTAGAGACAGGCACTACGCTCATATTGAAATTTCTTCCTCCATGCCTTTTTTGTTCCCTTTGGTGTTTGCAGGAACCCCAAGTGTTCTCCTTACCAAATATGTAAGAACAGTTTTTACCGAGTTCCTTTTTCAGACAGCAAAACTGGAATTATAACAGTAAATTCCTCTTCACACCTGTTGATGCTACCCTTCATCTTGAGATACTCATAAAGCTTGAACTAACATTTCTTGGATCTTCTCAGCTCTTCTTGATCCCACTCTTTCTCTTTCAGAATGACACGCTCACGGAGCTTTGCTGTAATGTGCTCTAGCAGTGCCTGGCGTGTTTGAACAACTTCCTGCTCAGATGCTGTCAGCATGTGGTATGGTGTTTTAGCAATTCTCCTGTCCTGAAACATAGTATGAGTTAATCCACTGAAGTATGGGAACATTAAATCTAATGCAATTTTCTGAAAGTTAAACCAAGCCATTCCAAAAGCACCGCACTGTCCCTAATAGATCCTGGCTAGGAGCTTCACCTGTGATAAGGGGCACGGGACATGTCCAGGTCTGAAGTTTGGTGAGTACTCAGTAAGTAAAGAAAAAAAGTTTTCAAACGTTTCCTTAAAGTGGAAGCTGCCCTCATCTTGCAGAGCTCCTCTCTCAGCACCTGTGGAAGCGCTGAGAGGCTTCCTGGAAATGGAAAGACATCTAGAGGGTGCTGCTTGCCCACTGTTATGTTGTTTCTCCATAAAAAAGCTATATATATATCATATTAATAAAGGCAGAATTGCTTCCAATTGGAACCATCAAAGAATCCTTGGCTTTTTCAAAGCTTGTTTTTTGAAATAGGTAAGTCCAGGAAAAAAAGAATCTGGCAGAAATGTATTCACAGCAAGATTAGTTAGTACTAGCTTTTACTACAGTAAAATCCCTTTTGAAAGGAACTAATGAATTACTGAGTTTCACTCTATTTCATGTTTGTAGCAAATAAATTAATTAATTTTGTTTAGCAAATATACTTAAAATATGTTATAGAAAACATATTTTAACATGTTTTATTTAATTTCTTTATTTTTTAAATTCATTATTTTAAGGTTTGATTGATAAGGTATTTTCATAGCTTGTAACACACTTATATGTATAATATCATGTTATATATAATAATCATATATATACATATATGTACATATATGTACATCACAATACTTTCTCCTGATTTCATTGTAGCCTCACAGAAACAGATGTGACATTTGTGTTTAATTTTTCAATTTATGTTTACATTTAACTTTTTCCAATTCAGTTCCAAATGGAGTATTGCTATAACAATTATCTGCACAGGCAAAATGCTTAAGAGACATTCGGACTTGAAATGGTGAATAGTTCAGAAGCAATGAAAGGTGTCTCACAACAAATGAAAGGAGAAAGCAAATTTCCAATGAGCATTTTTGAAGGCTGCCCTAGACAAATCTCGAGGACGAAGCAGACCATATATCTGAATGGATACAAAGAACACTGCATTTTTCAAGACAGAAACATAAGTCATACCTGATAATATTTATAATAGGCAAAGTCAACAGCAGTTCCCACAGCTTTTCTCTTTCCCTCCTGAAAAGTCACTGGTGCAAGGATATCTGCCCCAGCTTCAAGCAGTTTATCAACCTGAAGACAAGAAGCACATCTCAGCAAAAACAAAAGCTTCCAAAAAAATCTCCTTTATGCTATGTCTAAAGAGACAGGACTGATTATCAGAGCTTAACATCTATTTGTGAGATTGCTTTTTGCATCAAACCACACATTTCTTCTGCTCCATTAACGCTGTTCATCAATTGATGATCTAAACATGTTTTCTAAGTAAAGCCTTCTTGAAGGCAGTACCTATTTGTTTCTGGATATCTCAAAATCCTGCATTCTGAATGAGATCAGCTCTGTGCTTTCTGGGGTGAGAAGAAATGTTCCAACTTTCACACACCCAAGCACTGCCACTGACCTTAACATAGAGAGAAAGTGGGATTCCACTATCCACAGTAACACAACACTCCATGTGAATGGTGTGTTTATAAACAAGGTAACAGTCAGATCTTACATAGCTGTGGGTTCTACAATAATCCTATTTGCCTTTAATGAAGTTTTTTCTTTTCTAAACCAAAAAGTTGGCATCCTCTTCACTCAAACATAAAAACAAATGGCCACAAAAATACCCTGCTCCACAGGACAGAAACAGGCAGTGTCAGGAATACATATATATTAACTGTTCCTTAAAAAAAAAAAAAAAAAACTGCTTACCCATTAAAGAGAAAGGGAATTCAATGCACCTGATAAATATCATTGCTTTTTCTGAAGTTAAAATTTTTTTTAAAAAAGACATTTTCTCACCAAAATAATCCTCTGTGCTGTTGTTCTCTGGTGTTCATATGCGGTACTGACAGCTGCACAGAGGGCACTTTTCACTGCTCCACTTAGTGGCAGATTTGGGTCAGCCCCATGTTTGAGGAGTTCAACCACTGCCTGCAAATGTACACATGTAAACGTTACAAATTAGTGGCTGAGGTAACCATTTTTGACAGTTCAACAGTAGGAAAGTTAGATCCTAGCCACATCAGCCAAGGCCCTAAAGCTTTGCAGTACACCTGGAAATCTACTAGTATTTGTCACAGATTTGGGACGTGCACTCAGCACTGGTAAGGCCACACAAAGTCCAGTTCTGGGTTCCCCATTATGGGAGACACGAAGCTCAAGGTGTACCTAATAATAGATATATAATTATTATATATTATTATTATATAAATATATATAGTATTATATATTATTATATAAATATAATTTATATTTAATATTATGTTGTATTATTAATATTATATTATTATAATATGATATTTAAATTATATTAAATTTATATAATATTATATATTAAATTTATATATTTAAATAATATTTAAATATAGTTGTCTATAAATAATAGATAATATCTATAGACATTACAGACAATAATATCAATATCTTTTATCAATGTATTTTTAGACATTATCAGTGTGTGCACAGTGAGGTTGGATCCAGGATCATTCCAGTGCCAGTACAAGAAGCAACAGGCACAAATTGTAACAAAAGATGTTCCATCTGAACATCAGGGAGTAATTCTGGGCCGTGCAGGTGCTGGAGCACTGGCAGAGGATGCCAAAAGAGATTGTACAGTCACCCACTCAGAGATCTTCATCAACATCTGTAGGTAGTCCTGGGTATCCTCTTCTGTATGTCCCTGCTTGAGCAGGGAGGCTGGACCAGATGTCCTGCAGAAGTCACATCCAACCTTAACCGTTCTGTGATTCTATGTCCACATGAATATGGAGCTGCTGACCACATCTCTGACTGTGGCCATCCAGCCGACTCCTGATCCACTGTACAGTCAACCTTTCAAATCCATTTCACTCCAACTTAGCAATGTGGATGCTGTGTCAACACACATATCTGCTTCATTACCAGGTTTGGATGTGCATCTTTTCTTGCACCATGGTGTTAGCTGTGGAGCTGCCCCAGTGTGGGCAGAGGAAAGTAAATTCCTTGCTCTGGGAAGATAGTTGCTGAATTCTACTGTGTGAACTACAAATCTTATTTGTGGAATGCTTAGTCTCATTACAACCAAAATCGTTTTGAAATTTGACCATTGATCTTTTCATTTATCACCATATTTCACATATCACCAATGACTACCTTTTTGTATTCTACCCAGAAAGAAGTGTTTTGATACTTGGTTTAATCACTCTGGGTAGGGAGATTGCATGTGAGATGATTCTCATGAATTCATAAATATGAATACATTTATCAAAATATAAAGTCCTTCTGAATTCTACCCAAGTATTTATTGCTACCTCATTCTGTAGTCATTTAGGACTCCTCTGTTTCAGCTCATGAAACACCCATGGGTTTAAAAAAAAAAGTAAAAACATTATTCTTGCTAGAAATGTACAACGGCGACCTCTGTGTAGTTTGGCTATCAGGAAGGCATACAGAAAGGAGGAAGACACCAAACACTGAAGATGCCTTGGAATGCTCACCAAGTCATTCCCACTGGCAATCGCTAAGGAAAGGGGCGAATGGCCACTCCACAATGTGTTTGGATTTGCCTTATGCGTTAAAAGGAGGCGGATAACATCTCTGGCATGCTTTGTAGGTAGATGGCATGGAAAAAAGAAGAAATAGAACATAGTAAAGTCAACTTTTTAATATCAGATCAGCATCATAATAATAGTGTAATTAAACAAGCAGAAAAAAAAACATTTGAAGCTTTCACATAAATTGTGATGTTACAGTAGAATTATATATCCGTTTTCTTCAGATTGAGAGCCCAAGCACAGTGGTGTCAAACATAAACAACCAGATTCCCAAATGTCATTAACCCTGCCACCAGGGGGAATATGTAAGTTTGCTTTCGAGGAAGTACACATCTCCTCTCTCAAATACCATTCTCCAAGTGCATGCATTCTAAATCTATGACAAGAATCTTACAAAATCAAATTCAGAGAGGTTAGCACGTGCCAAAACTAAGACTGCCTAACTTCAAATTGGCCCTGTGGATGATAAAAGTTTATGGCCAACTAACAAATAGTAATTTGAGTAAAGGAGTTTCCCTTGTCAAATGGAACTCCAAAGTTAAATAAGCTTTTCACCTTACACTTGAATAGATTTATGATCTGTACAACACTGATAGTTCAGTAGGAAAAGAAATTATTCCTGGAACTCAATCACCAACTTCAGAGACGAAATGTTTTCACTACCAAAGTTTGTTACTCGGGACAGCAGAACCTCAGATGCTGTGCTCTTACCTCACTGTTACCCTCTCTTTCGCATGCAATATGCAGGGCACTCCTCCCACCTTCTTCTGGAACAGGACCGTTGTAGGAGGAAAAGTACTCTTGTGGTGGCCCTGCTTCATTTTCCAGTTGCCAAGTGACATCACCTGACAAGCTGGCTTCTTCGTCTTGAGGCTGAGAAATCAAAGTGAAATTATCTGCCTATTTGTAATAGAGCTTAAAGACAAGTGAACAAAAATAAGCCTGTCTGGTTACTCATTGCTCTAGATCTTAAATATAGATAAAACTTGTTCAGTCCTACAATATTCGCTGCTTCCCTTTTTGTGCTTTCTTCATTCAGGTTTCATCTGCCAGACTGCTTTAGGAGTGCAATAAAACCATTGGCGGAGTCTATGGAAAGAAAATTTTAGAGATAGAAGATAATAACTTACTGGGCCAAACTGTACTGTGTGGGATGCAGAAAAAAAGAAGCAAGCTTCTAGGCGTATGGGGCCTTCCTTGAGTCAAATGCATCTCTATGTCATTCACTTCAGGTCTATGCCTACCTGCACAATGTCTGGGTATTCTGCAATTTAATAATATTTCTACTTACAGATAAAGCATAGAAATACAAACTGAAAAAGCCATCTAAATCTCCCTGTGCTACAGACATTCATCTTAGTCCTGTTCACAGTCAAATAAATTTTATCAGACTGGTTACACGAGCTGACTCCTCTTTAAGTGAATGAGACCTGATGGTATGCTAAGGAGCTGGACAATGTCATTACAAGACCCTGCTTACTTCTGAGGAGACATTACTGAGGACTTACAAAAAGTAAACACCACTCTTATCTTATGGGCAAGGCTGGAGGGAACTCCAGGCTGGACAGCCTCACTTCAGCATATGGGAAGCTGATGGAAAAATCTGAAAGGCCATCTCCAAACTTATTCAATATTGGGAGCAGTCAAAATAGCTTTGCAATGGGGAGATCATGCCTGACAAGTACATCCTTCTACAATGAGATGAGCAGCTCACTGAAAGATGAGAAAGCAGTCATTGTTCTTTACCTTGACTTTAGCAAGGCATTCAATACTCACAGGCAGAGGTGGTTTTGTGATTAGCAGCATGACATCCAGCAATGCTGTGCCCCAGGACAGATACTAGGGCAGATACTATAGATACCCCTAGGGTAGATACCATAATAATGCCCTAATGACCTCAATGCTGGGAGAGTGCATACTCTGCAAGATGATATAAAACTGCAGAGTGGTTGATGCAGCAGGCAGTGCTGCTGCTGTTCTGAGGGAATTGGACAGCCTGGAGAACTAGGCAGAGGGAACCAGTACACCATGGAGGCTGAACAGATGGAAATAAAACCTTCTAGAGCAGGACCTGGAAGTCCTGGTGGACAACAGGTTGAACTTGAGCATACATGCACCCCTGCAGCATACGTCAGCAGCACTCTGGGCTGCATTAGAAAAAACGTTGCCACTGAACAGACTGTCCACAGAAGTTGTCCTTGGAGATACTCAAAAAACAACAGATCTAGACACTGAGCAACCTGCTACTTGATCCTGCTTTGAGCAGAGGTATTGAACTACACAGTCTTCATAGATCCCTTCCAATCTTCTTGTAATAAAAATCACATAATCACAGAATTTAAAGTAATATCTCAAGTAACAAGTGTGAATCAACTATCAACTCCACATGACTTTTTCTTGCTTTTTAAAAGCTAGTCCAGTAAAATGCAAAGACTACTCTGCCAGAAGGAAGGAGGCTCAGTTCCTTGCTTATGTCCTCTGCAGTCTGAACTTAAACAGGTGAAAGGAAATGAGATGAGAGAGAAACTTACCTCATCTGGACCATATACCTCATTTCCATCTTCTGCCCTTGCATCAAGATCTAGAGCAGAACTCAGGAGGTACTCTGTTATCTGGACTCCTTCCTCCCCAGGAATAGAGGCAGCTATGTGGAGAGGAGATAAACCCCAGAACTGAAAACACAAACACAGCATTAGGATTCCTGTTTATCATAGAATCATACAATCATAGAATGGCCTGGGCTTAAAAAGACCAAAAGACCATCTAGTTCCAACCCCCTGCTATGTGCAAGGTCACCAACCACCAGACCAGGCTGCCCAGAGCCACACCCAGCCTGGCTTTGAATGCCTGCAGGGATGGGGCATCCACAGCCTCCTTGAGCAACCTGTTCCAGTGCGTCACAAGCAGGACTCAGTGCCAATTTTTTGTTTGAAGACCAATCTGTTCTTCAAACTGTTGTTTGAAGAAAAATCCAAGCTCCCTCTTCACCCATGCTGTGCCTCACTGACAGTCACACACATTGTGAATTACAATCCAGTAAAACCTTGGATGGAAGCCGCACATCAGTCCTGGCTCCCTTTTCTAAGAGGAGTTTCACTGCCTTTGCATCAGCAGCTTTAACAGCAAAGAAAAGAAGGTGTGATGGGACCCAGGAGACATTGGGATCTGCACCTCGTCGAAGCAGCAGTTGGATTGTTTCCCATCTCTTCTGTTGCCTAAAGTTGACATAAAAAAATACCAGAATAACTTATTAGCACCTCCTAAGAAAATTTTTAAGTGCTACTACACTAAGATGAACCACACAAGTGCCCTACACCAACACCCAATATTATGACCTGAAGAGGTGTACCTCAGCCCTCTGAGCTAAAGGAGCAGTATGCTACAGCAGTCCATGTGATCATGGGAAGTCTTGCATGGGAACAGACAGGCAAAACTAGGCAAGATTCTCTGTACCTCCATCAGGTACTTACTTGTGACTCGTAAACACTGAAGTTTTTTTAAATCACAGAAACAGATTCCTGCTTCCTGGAAGGCTCTTTCTTCGGTCATACCTTACTCATCTCCCTAAGGAATCAAGGCTGTAATGTTTCCCTTACTCAAAGATTGGTACAGGAGTTAGGATAGACTAGGACAATATGCATTTCCTTGATGTGTAACTATCTATACATCCCACAAAAAAGCCTGATACCACCAAAAAAACCTTTTTCTTTTTTTTTTTTTTTAAAGGCAAACAGCACTTGGAAGTCACCCGGAAACTCTACTGCACAGCATTCTCAGCAAAGACTCATCTTTTCAGGCATGGTATTAAATAAGCTTTGCTCAATTCAATGGATCTTTATATACTAATCAACATCAGGTAATATACACAGTATTTCAGACAAGACTCATGGAAAGACGTGCCACAAAAGGAAAGAGTCATGATCAATGTCAATCAGGAAGTTTCAGTTTGGGATTTTTAAGATAGCAGAATTATCTCCAGCAACATAAAACATAACACAAAAATGTCATTATGTTTGGTGACTGCCAGCAAAACAGAAGGGAGAATGTGGCCTTTTCCAGGATACACACAGCAAAAATAGCTGTACCACATTTCAGTCAACACAAATGAACAGACACTTGCATAAAACAACCATTAAGTTCATATGGAGTCAAGACTTTGAGTGAATAAATTATTTTCCTTCCTCACATCTGCACTACATTGCACGAGTCTATTGCATACTTATCAGCTTTTTATGTTATGCTAACAAGAAACCTTGTGTCACCCAAGCATGATGCTCTTTGCTTCAGCAACACTTTTCAACTGCAGTCTCTCCCACTGCCAGCCTGAACTATTAGTGTATGAACAATGAGTGTCTTCTACCAGCATGAAAACAACATTTACCCATTTATACATACAAAAAAAATAGCTTTCCTTGCAATGGATGCACCCTTCTGTGAAATACTATTGCTACTTTGTACAAAAAGGTTTATGAGAATTTGTCTGCTTACACAGTAAGTGCAAGACTTACTCTGAGGTTATGCTCTCAGCCACACTGACTGCTTCTGAGGATTCTGATCGTTCGTTCCACTTTTAAAGATTAAAAAAAAAGAAAAAAGAGAAAAGAAAGAGGTTACAAAAATAAAATAAAAGCTGGGCAGCATAGAGTCATAATGGAATATGGTCAGAGAGATCTTTTAGAAGTAATTTGTAGTTAATATTAAAAACTAAGAATAATACTCAAACACAGCTGAGTGTTCTTCTTGCCCAACTTTCTTGGTGACTCAAGTACATTTAGAAGAGATAAAGCTTCCTCCAGCATCCATCACCTGGCTTTAAAGAAAAAAAAAAATTCTCTGAAATAAAACAAGACACAGATTTTCAACCTGCATTCGTTTGCATGAAAACTTTAAACTAGGAACTACTAAACTTGTGTTTCCAAATCTGCAGGTATTTAACATTTATTTAACAACTCTGTCAGTGAAACGGACGGTGGGATTGAGTGCACACTCAGAAAGTTTGTAGATGATACCAAGCTGAGTGGCTGACACCTCCACACCACAAAGTGCACCCTAATGTTCAGATGGATCCTCCTCTGTCCCAGTTTGTGCATATTGCATCTTGTCCTGTCCATGGGGAGCACTGAAATGAGCCTGGAATCAGCCCTCTCTACACCCTCCCTGCAGGTATTTGTTATATGTTGAGAAGATTCTCTCTGGGCCTCCTCTCCTTCAGGCTGAACAATCCCAGCTCCCTCAGTCTCTTTTTACAGGAAAGCTGCTCCAGTCCCTTCACCATCTTGGTGGCTCTCTCCACTATGTCCATGTTTCTCTTGTACTGGGGGCCCTAGAACTGGTCACAGTGCTCCAGGTGCTTTGGACAACTTAATGTGGTGGCTGGCAACCCTGCTCTCAGCAGGTTTAAAACCAGATGATCTTTAAGATCCCTTCCAACCCATACCACTGATGGTATGATTCAACACAGAAAAAAAAGTGAAAACAGTGTGCATTTTTCTTGCTGAATCTGAAAAGACAGTGACAGGTACAAACAAAACCAGAAAGATCCTCCCTCTATCCCAAATTACCTGGTATTATCTCTAAAATGAGAGGTAATAGTTTCACATTTATTTTTATGTGAAGCTTTGAGCACCTGTTGTATATTCATCTCTCACTCTCCTTCCTTTCCCTTAAGAGTACTGCAACTTTAGCAATGAACAACCACTTAGACATCCTCTTGTAACTGGAACAGGGACTTCAGAACAACCAAAGATCATAGAATCATAGAATCATTTGAGTCTGAAGGGGTCTTTGAAGGTCCCACTGTCAATGCCATTGATGAAGATGTTAAAGAGCACCAGTCCTGAGGGACACCACTTGTCACCAATCTCCATCCAGATACTGAGAAGAGACCACCACTCTCTGGGTACAATCTCACAAGCAGTTCCTCGTCCATTGAACAGCCCACACACCAAATCCAGATCTTCCCAATTTGGAGAGAAGGATGTTGTGAGGGACCATGTCAAAGGCCTTTCTGAAGTCCAGACAGATGGTATCAGTGTTTCTTTCCATGTCCATCACAGAATGCCACAGGTAGATGTCTGATTTCCAAGAAGCTTCCACAGGATATGGGCCAGTACCTCTCTAGTTTATTTTGAACATGTCAGCACTACTCTTCCATTTTTGGCATCCACTGAAATACTTCCAACACCATGCAGTTCCTACTTGCCTAGTCCCCGTTCTTATTCCTTTTCTCATCCTGGCTGGTGATTCCAGACACCCTGTTTTCATTTTCTTTTTTATTCCCAGGTTTGCACTGTTACAAAATGCATACTCCCAGATAAGAAGATTCAGAGCAAGCATTTTTCTTTGCAGCAGATGGATGGGAGTTTTCCTTTTGTGATCCACCCTATAGCAATCAGACTTCTGACAAGCTTTTTACTTGCCACCTCAATGATGCCAGCATGACTCCGTAGTACCAGGCGACCCACCTGTCTCCTACTGTTCTAATTATTTGTAATTCCCAGTAATTACTTCACTGCATCTTCATTGTCTGAAACACCAAGCAAACATGGCCTCACATATCTGTTATCGATACAGTGCCTTATTTTGTTGCAGAGAAAGCTTGTTACTAAGCCAAGCCCTTTAACTTCAGAGTCAGCAGTGACAGGAAGAATTACTATACATTATTAGAGCGAAAAATGAAAAAAAATATCATTTTTCCTACACAGAACTTTAAAAAGCAAGCTTACAGCCTGAGGATATAATACATTATGTTTTGTCAGATTAGACAGAAACAAACCTGGTTACTGTGCAAGCTTCTCTCAGCAATATTACCCTTAAAAGATTCTTCTGGATAATAGAGAATAAAGCACATGGACAGAGCAGATAATCCTTCATCGCTACACTTATTCACATCAGCCCCACTATCAAGAAGTAGATTCACAATATCACGGTGGGAATGAACCTGTAGAGGGGAAAAATCCATACTTGCACAATTCCAGCTTTAGACATTGAAAGAAATTGACAGTTTTTAAATAGTGCTTTACACCGTTCAGCTAATGCAAATGTATGTTTCCCACAAAATAACAATACAATATAGAACCATGTCTTACAAGGTTCAAACTATGCATCTTTCAGCTAAATTCTGTCCTCAAGTACACCCTTCTCCTTTTTTCTTCCTTCTTTCTGAGAATGAGGGAGGATTTACATACAGAAGGAGACTAAAATTGACCAAGATGTCTACAGAAAAACAGTGTTCTCAATTATTATCTTGATTTTGGTAGCAATTTGTAATGAATGCCAAGTATTCCAGTAGCTGAAAAGGGTACAAATAAAAAGATTACGGGTGGATTTCATGCCCTTCCTACAGGAATTGAAGTCGTGCATGCATGGATTCTAGCCACTATCACTTCTCAGCAAAAACAAAAAAACTCCACCTGATTCTGATTTCAGCTAGGAGAAGAAATAAGGGCACAGTTCTATCCAAGAATGTGGGTCCAATGCATAGTTATAACCTGAAATCAAACCTAGTGTTTGAAGCCATCTCTAATACTTAATGAAGGGCTTCCTTTAGATGATTTATTTACAGTGGGGTTTGGCATGATACCAATCATTACAGGCACTACTCATGCCACACCTCTTTTCTGTTTTTCTTGTTTACTGAGCATTCCTTTCATATTATGTAACAAAACAAGACCAACATTTTATTCAGCCTACAATAGCAGGAATGTTATTGTGTAGTAGTACCATACTTAGGGTCTTACAGCAGCAGCAGCAAGTGCAGTGTATCCCTTTTTATCAGCCACATCTGGATGAGCCAATCCATTCCTCAGAACTGTACAGACTCCATCAAAATCTCCTCTTGCTGCCTTCTGAATTAACTGCTCTGAGGCAAGTTCCCTGGGTCCTGGATGTCCATAATTACTGCGGACTCCTCTGAGAATGAGCTTCATATCTAAAGAGAACTCTGCTTGACAGTGCCTAGAAAAAAGAGTGAAAAAACCACTGCACATTTAAGCATGTAGGTATTCCTTGACCACAAGGGCAGTTCAAAATGCGATGGTAAGAAGGATGGACAAATCAGACCAGCGATCATTTTAAAATCTATTTCAAACAGCATAAGCTTGCTGAAGGCAAACCAGAATACAGGATGCTGGCAGCAGCATATAGACTGTAACTGAAGAGGAGTTCAAATATCCAGCCATCAAACATCTACGAAAAGAAGGAAGCTAAATCTAACTTCCAATTATTTAAATGAAAAATTAGTTATACACACTCGTGACATCAGTTTACAATTAAATTTCCATCACCTGCAGTAACTAGAAAGCATTCCATCAACTCTGCCTGCCCAGGGAGTACTCCCATGTACAGGTACCAAGTTAGCTGTTAGCTGCTAGCTGTAGACTAGCTGCAGCATATTTTGTATTGCCTAGAGGAGAACAAGAGTCAGGATGACCTCTAAAAGGTATCAGTGGCCAGATTTCCAGTTCTTTTGAAAATCTGACACCGTTCTCCTTCATATTTACATCTTTGCAGAAAACACTGTGCTCTCAAAAGAGATGTGGTCATTCCTCTCCGGTCTCTACAGCCTTTGCCTCCCTGTTGCTATCAAAACTGGACTTCCAGTAATTCTTCACAAGCAAATAATTAATCAGACTAATTTTATAGATGTAGCCAGAAGAAAATCAAGGCTTAACTTATATGAATGACATTTAATTTAATTTGTGAGCTAAAAGATGAATATATTATTTGTTGGTTTTGTTTAAAAATTCAACTTGTAATCTCAAGGCCATAAAAAAATATCTGGTGCAATGTATTCATGCAATATAAATTTGAAAATAATGAACATTTGTAGATAAAAAATGCTAACAATCCACATACAATAAACAAATCATCAAGTATTACCTGTGCTTATAAGCATGCATTTGTATCCTAACTAGCAAAGGAGTTCCATTTGCAACATGCCAGGGGTCTTCTTCAGGCAGCTCTTTGGCGTTCTCGAAGTAATGAGCATCACAATCTTCCAGGAAAGAGTGAGTCAAGGTAAGATGATCCATGTTACAAGAATATGCAAGAACTCCTTCAGGGAAAACATCCTTGTCATCAAAAGGAAGATGTTTGTAGCTACGGAGGAAAGGATCCTCCTTGACAGAAATATACTTCTTTGGAGTACTGTCATCAAAATATCTGTAATGTTCCGGATAATCCAAGACAGAAAAAGAACCAGGTACTTCAGTACACAGTTTAATGAGATGATTTGCAAGCCACAAGCCAACGTCCTGACAGCCATCTGGATAGCTCTCAATCCCTGGTCCAAATCGCTCATCAGATTTGTACAGTCCCTTAGGAAACAAGCAAGCTCATTAGTATCAGTCAGAGATCAAGCACATCATACAACAGCCTGTGTTGGTACAACTGATCTGGCTAGTTCTGACCCTACTGGGACAGTTCCTGTTGACACAGCAATAACAGCTGAATCCATTCTGAACTTCAAGGCCCCCGCATTCACCTGGGCACATTCAGTGGCAAACAAATTTTCAAGCTCACAAGCAATGGAAGGCCCCTAACAGTGAGATACAATGTTTAGATTAAACTTCCTGACCACTTTGTGCCCAGCCAAGATTTTCTTTTAATTTATTCAGTGAGTAAATGTGGATTCATTAGCCAGGCCAGGATAGATTTTCATTTAGATTTTCCAAATAGAAACCAAGCACCTCTGATACACATCTGCACTGACATGGAAGATAGAATTGATATCAGTTTATTTTCTTACAATGGTAACTAACTGTAGTCTTGCAAACATGGTAGGAGACACTAACAGAATAGACTTGGTCACAAAACACTAGAGGAGATGAGTTTTAATCTTCCTACAATGGTACCTTAGTTTGGCTGTGACACTATGGCAGGCAAGTGTAAGGTCTGATGGAAAATCTCCAAGAACTGTTTCAATGTCTCCATCACTGGGGCACTGCTTAGCAAAGAAGAATGAACAGAAATTGTGTTCTTAGCTGGCAGCTGGAATAGGGAACCAGAAGTGCTTGCTGAAGAGTGTGCAGAGTACATCAGAGGATGTGGATGGCTCTACCCACATGCAGACCTGAGCAAATTCCCCTGTTGCAAGAGACACCTCCATGACCAACCGTGATAAGGGACAGAGCCTCTGTGACCTCTGACTCAAATTATCTCCAAACTGGAGGGATGTGGATTTGATGGGTGGACCACTCGATGGATAAGAAACTGGTTGAAAGGCCGCAGACAGAGGGTGGTCATCAAAGGCTCTATGCCCAGGTGGAGGCCGGTAACGAGCGGCGTCCCCCAGGGCTCTGTCTTGGGACAGGTGCTCTTTAACATCTTTATCAATGACATCGATGATGGAATTGAATGCACCCTCAGCAAGTTTGCTGACAACACCAAGCTGAGTGGTGTGGTTGACACAGTTGAAGGAAGGGATGCCATTCAGAGGGACCTCGAGAGGCTAGAAAGGTGGGCTGGGTGAACCTGATGAGGTTCAACACGGCAAAGTGCAGAGTTTTGCACTTGGGCCGGAGGAATCCCAGGCATCCCTACAGACTGGAAGGAGCGGGCCTTGAGAGCAGCCCTGTGGAGAAGGACCTGGGGGTCTTGATAGATGAAAAACTTAACATGAGCCAGCAGTGTGCCCTTGCGGCTCAGAAGGCAAATGGTATCCTGGGCTCCATCAAAAGAGGGGTGGCCAGCGGGGACAGGGAGGTGATTGTTCCCTTCTACTCTGCTCTTGTGAGGCCCCATCTGGAATACTGCGTCCAAGTCTGGAGCCCCCAGTACAAGAAAGAC